GGGAGAAGGGAGTTAAGCCACTTATTGTAAGCATAAACTTGCTGCCATAACAGCAGGTCTCTGAAAGGCCACATTTTGGATACTTGCTGCAGTGGAGTCTGCTGGCAATATATAATTTGTTTACTAAACTGGGAATGCAATTTAAATGTCCCTTTTGAGTTAATGAAAATATAAAACAGCTTTCCAGAATAGACCAAGGGCTCTCATTTAATTATCTGTAAGCCTCATAGATTAAAAGGATTCTTTCATCCGTTCCTGACAGCCTGAAGTAGACGAATAACTGAAATTCAAAGAAAAACTTTACAAAAAAGAGACCTGATGGGTAGATGAAAGAGTAACGGGCCAAACCATTTGTAAAAGGACAGAGCTTCACTGAATTGCCCATTGCGTTTATGGCAACTAATTGTATGCAAAAACAATTAAAGGTTTGGAAGCTGTGATACCCATTAAGGAGGGCAGGAGTTCCCATAACCTGCAGGAAGGACAAGCTAGCTCTTCTTTGAAATATGGTGGTGGTTGCTGTGTATCAAAGGCGTTGCTCTTTAAGGGGAGGCTGCAAGCAGTGGCCTTCAAGCGTGTGAGCAGTCCCCATAAAACCAGCAGGAGCAGTCACAGCAGCAGCCTTCAGCTTCGTTATGTGCAGAGTCAGTGCTTTAGACAGCAGGTCCAACCTTAAAGCAGAGCGCGGGAGCGACGTTGCCCAACCACGGCAAAGGCTGTCAAAAACAGCGACTGCTCAGACGTGTTCGCAGTGCGGCGGGGTCTCGTGTGGCTTAGTGCTAAGCGACAAGTGTACTTTCTGCATTGAAATGCTGTTGCTCTCGTGTCAGCCCTCATCCGACTGTTAAGTCCACAGGTAGCTGCTGAAATACAGCAGCCGTTCCTCCACGCTTTTTGTCCGCATTCATAATTACATCTATTTGTGTTACAGCAGCGCTTGCCACCCCAGTGGCAAAACAGAGCGTTTTGGAGACCAGGGTGCCCTGATGGAAACGAGGTGTGGAGCATTTAAAGCAGCTTTGCATGGGAATTTGGTGGCAGAGTGAGGCATGAGCGCAGCTCTCATCTGTTACGGTCCCAGGTCCAACCAGAAGATGGTTGGATACAAAGAAGTTGGGTTTTGTCCCCACCATACGTGAAATATTTTCTGAATTTGGAAAGGCAAAACAGAGGTGTGTATGGGGAAAAAAACTTAGGATTTCACTTCATGACGAGTAGGTGAGGATGAAGAAGGTCTGGGTTGTGACCAGTAGAACAGATGCTTTACTGTTTTTTTTTTGGGGGGGGGGTTAGAATATGTTCTCCATTTGCAGGTTTGTACTGGAATGCTTTAATCTTATGGCACCATGTGTCTAAGAAGAAAAAAGAACAAGTTTGTCTCTGCTATAAACATTTATAGCTTCATTGACTTTAAGTGGAATTTCACCTGTGAGTACAAGCAGTCAGCTCAGTTGCTGCAGTTATCTGTAGCAGTTTTCTGTAGTTATCTTCATCTAGATTTGATCCAATGTTTTGACTTTGAAAAGATCCTCAGTTTGAAAAGCTTTCTCGGGTGGATGATGATTTTGTTTGCCTGCAACACAGATAAATCTACTTTGAATTATGTGTGTCCAAGCGGGAAGAGGAGCGAAGAGATGGCGGCACAAGTGCCAGAACTCTGCAAAATTCTGACTAAGCTGGCCGTAACTAATATCTAAAATAGTGCCTCTAGAATGTACTTCAATTTACATTTAAATGTACTCTTAGAGAAGTCTTTCATGTTATCTTTATGATATGGCAGATTCTAATGCTTTAAAATTTGAACAGATCCTTCACTTAGCTGCAAATAGACAGCTTGCTTTTTGCTACTGTATTGTAATTTGGTATTTTATTCGTGACTGATATGCTACTGTTGCTTGATCCAGATTAATTTCCCGTACTAATTCGTTCAAGATGTGCCGAATAGGCTAACGTTGGATTTGCAGACTCTGTTCTTACTTTGTAGAATTTGCTGTTATCATTTTTGGGACAATGTGTTCTCTTTGACACCCTAGCGAAGTGCCAACCGCCTGTGAAACAGCACTGCATCAACTGTTACAGCACGATCCCAAGCGCACTGAAATCAGTGAATAGTAATGCAATTCAAGGTTTTTACGGAAAGGCAGTATCTTTTATTAGATCAGCTGTTACAGCTGGAAAAAACAGGCAAGCTTTCAGGCACACAAATCCTTCTTCAGGTTTGAAATAGAAGCAGGATTGCTTACGCCAGCATTCCTCACTGATGAGACAGCTATTGTCCAGGCAAGGGTTTAAAAAATGCAATTAAAAGTGTGTGTGTGTCGCAGAGCCCTTTATCCTAGGCAAGGCTTCATATAGCAGGATGCAGGCAAACGCTGTTGTTCCCTCTCCGCCCATACCGCTCTCCGGTATGCATCTTGCAAGCGGGAGATACATCCTACAAGGAGAGGCTGCATAAGGTCACTTCAGGCAGAGCTGAGAAGAAGCCTGCAGGAGTACGTTAGGACCGAGCCACGTCTTCTCCGCAGTCCCCTCGCTGTTTGGGAGCGAGGAAGGCCGCAGGCTCAGCTGGGCGGGGTGTAAGCCCGGGACTCTGCTCTTTTCCCGGCTAGGAATCGGCTCTGGCATGTATTGCTCTCCAGCAAATAGTTGCACGAACAACTGGCAAAACGGATTTTATTCCTTCCTTGTGGTTGGTTTGCAGGGAACAGTGTTTCCCAAAGTTTCTGGAGTAGCAGCAGGCTACCAGCCACCTAATAACAGAGCGTTTGGAAAGTACTATGCAGTGTGCCTAGTCCTGCAGAAAAGCTGTGAACAGCTTGCCGTTGTCGTCGGATTGCTCGTGGTCACAAAACAGACGAATAGAGAGTAACAGCCCCGTACTGTGCCTGCTTACTCCGCTGGACTGTGGCGCAAAAGATCTTGTTTTTTCATCCTGTGATAGACTTATTCTTTTTTCTTTTTTAGAAATCTGAAAGAGTATATACTTAAAATCCTGGTACTTAAAGGACAAAGGCAGGTGCACAAAAAATAAGTGTTAAGGTTACCGTAACATTTACTTCTATATCCCCATGCTATGAACTGTGGTATTAATTGTAGTTAATAATTGTGATATTAACCGGTTAAGGACACTTTGCACTGATGATGAATGTTTGTGTGGTACATGGGGGCTGTGAAAACTTTGCATTTTGCATTCTTGCTGGACGATATTATTAGGTGGGTTAATTAAGCAGCTGCTTTATTCTGCTCTGTTGGAAATGACAGGTTGCATATCAGGAAACTGTCACCACAAGAAAATTGTAAATAAATATTGATGCTCCTGAAAATATTAAACAGATGAACCTCTTATCAGTTGAAGTTGCTTTTTTATCGTATTAACAAATAAAGATGTGCAGCCAATGAGAAAATAATGATGTCAACAGGAACCTGATTATTGGAGAAGCTTAATTCAGAAGGAGAAATATCTTTTAAAAATAGTCCAGGCCAAAAATCTCATGCTTAAGATCTGCACTGAGTGCTGATGTTCTGGCATGAAACTTTCTTACTACAGGCTCAAACTTCCTTAAAAGGTTAGAAATGTATTGGACCCTGTCATGGTATAAAATACCAGTGTTTCAAATGTGGTCCTCAGTTTGAATCCATCACTTCAGGCACATCATTCTTTGGGATCTGAATCACAGCTGATGGCTGTGCCATTCCCAGCCTGGGCCGATCTTTGTTTGAGCCTTAATTTTTCTCCTCTAAATATTGTTAAGTGGAGGAACACTTCTGATTGATCCCTTCTGGATTTTTCTCCCTCCAGTGATGGCAAACACATCCATGGCAAACAGGCTGGCATTGCCCATAACACAGAGGTAGATAGTTCCTTCTCCTTTCTGGTGAAGGTTTCAGTTAAGAAGTCATGTAGACAACCAGATTCTCTGATGAATCTCAGAATTTCTTTTAACTCCATTTAATACCCAATTAATTCTATTTAATAGCAGTTTGAAATCACGGCCGTGAGAAGGTTACTGCATAATATGGTTTATTTTTCTTTCTGGGGACCAAAAGAAAAATGATGGACTAGTCTGTGATAGCCAAGATGTTCCTTCTTACTTGAAACTAAGTCCTTTTCATATCCCCATCTATTTTTAGGCTCTTCCACGCTACCAGAGTACAGTAAGTAAAAATCATGGTCCATGCTTAATTTCTGTAAATGTCATTATGTAGCCATGTGGAGTACGACATGCTTAAGTTGCAAAATATAATTCCACATCTGGATTCTCCAGCTAGTAAAGGGCTTTGGTATCCCAATTTTTAGACATCTTCTGTAGATGGGTTTGAAATGTAGGTGCAAACTCTGTTAAATTCTGAAGAGATCTGAGTCAATGCTACAGATCAACCCTGTGTTTAGTTTGGATTTTTTTATAATTTGGCACTTTCAAAGATGTTGGGAAGCAAGAATGGTGTGAAGGAAGGAGGAGCAATGAAAAAATGAGCTGCTGAGGAAAAAAGCAAACCCACCTGCTCCCAAACCACAATTTTTTACTACCTAACACTTCTTTTATTAGTGCTGATGTAGCTTTTTTGGGTCATGAAGCTAGAAACAGCAGCAGCAGTGTCCAGCACGCAGGTAAATCTGACAGGTACATGTGAACGCTACACATCATAAATATACATTGAAGTCAAAGCTTCTTTCCTAGGTCCTTTCATACTTATCACAGCTAAATAGCAGTCAGCTCTATCTCTGTTTTCTTCCACTACTGCATTTATGGAATAGCCTGTAGTGAGCAAAGGCTGCAAGGAGGCTTGGAAATGGTAGTGCTAATGTGAGCAGCAGATTTCCTTGCTCCGTTTCTGATGCATCTGGTTATAAATTCAAGCAGTAGAAGTCCGAAAATCAAAGGAGTAAAACTCTTGTTTGTTCATGATCTTGACCAGGACCGAATGCGTTCATGTTGACAAGCTTTGCAGGATGCTTGCTTTGTCTCTTGCTGTTTCACTGAAACTTTACTCTTTTTCAGGTGCCAGGAGACAATGAGAAGCACTGGAAGCCTGTGCTAGTTGTCTTGACTGAGAAAGACCTTTTAATATATGAGAGCATGCCGCGAATGAAGGAAGCTTGGTTCAACCCTCTGCATACCTACCCCCTGCTAGCAACCAGGTACCTTTGCTTTTTTATTACAGCCACTTGACGAGCATTGGGAATGGTTGAATCAGCTGAGATCAGAAATAGCTGGTGCAGAGCTGTATATCGCACTTGAAATGTCATGGTTTAAGACCCAGTTTCTTCTTAAATGGGCTGATGTGTTCAGCTTAACTGTTCTTCCTGCAGTTTCAAATTCTGGCCAAGACTAATTGCCAAAATCACACCAGAAAGATTATGAATGTGGTAGTTTGGCCCTGATCCAGAAGCAGAAGTGCTTAAAAAGCTGAGAGCTTGATCTCAGCAGATTTCTATCTCAGTGTGCAGACCTAAGAGCTTGGCAGACGCATTCAGAACTCCAGCTACTTTTCCAGACCTCAGTCATATAACATATAAAATAATTGCCCCGGGTTTAATGTGCTGGCTGGTATACTCCTGCTGGATGAAAGTACTACACCAGGTAGAGTGCATCACCAATGGCTGGGGCTTCTGGAGGCTTGCGCATGAGATGGAGACACTTTATTCCAGCACATCTTATGTTCCTACTCCAAGCAGCTAGTATCCGGCTGTTTTAGCTTAAAATGGTGAGCTTGGGAGACACATTCTTGAATCTTTCTATCATCTGCATTATTTTGAAGGTATCCATCAACGTTAATCCAGAGAGAGCTTTCCCATGGTTGTCTTTATACACTGAAAACGGTCTATATAGTTCTTGACATGCATTTTAATCACATTCTTCTGCCAGTATGGTCAAAGGGCTTGGGAAAGAGCTGCTGTTTCATTGTTTTGGCCTTACTACAGGCCTCTATTATACTGTTTTCAATGGGTTCTCATTTGGAAGGCCTGGTAGCATGTGGCCAAAAGCAGTGGCTCTCTTACTGTACTCTCCTTAGTTAATTTTTGTTCTCACTCTCTATTCTCTTCCCAAATGAGCTGAGACTTTGCTGATAAATCATTCTATTAAAAAAAAAAAAAAAAAACTTGGTAAATTATCCTAATAGTTGTTTTGTTCCAATCTACCTGCCCATGATAGAGCTTTCAGACTTCCCAGGAAGCCATGTGCTGGCTTACCCTGCGTTAGCGTCAAATAAGGGGACTGTCCTATGCCTTGCACGACCCTGGCAAGCTCTGAGCCTGCCATGTGTGGTGGCAGTGAGGGGTGACAATTCCAGTGCAAGCATTCCTCCTGAAAACTTGGGTGAGGTGTTGCAGCATGAGTCTGTGCCCGGATGTGCTGACCACACGTCACGAGGCCTTGACACGATGCCTGCCCCATGATGAATAGCACGTAGTGTTGCCTCACAGCACTGCAATCTTGCCTCTGGGTGACTGGGCCAATGTCCTCACCAGTGATTTATTGCTGTTGCTATTGCAACATCCTCACTAAATGAAGGCTTGCTGGTGTTTTTGACCCAGTGGGGAGTGAGCTCTGGGTAGCGTCAGTGCCAGGTGGAAGCTGACTTTGAGTTTTTAAATAGAGGGGAATATTCCTCTATCCTCTTTGCTCCTCTTTGGTTGAGTTTCTAGAGATTGTCTATGGAATCAGGACTCTCTCGTGAAGAGAAGTATTGTTCAGAGTTTCCTGTTTACCTCGGCAGGGGTTAAGGAGACGGGGACTGCATCTCAGTGGTCCTCGCGTCCATCGTAGGAGGGATCCATATTCTGGCGCCGTATTTTGGTGTTCCTGCAGCCAGTGGAGCATGATGCACAGAGGGAAAAAGAAAATCCTTGCCAAGGGAACAGCACCTCGGCCGGTGTATAATTGCTGCTGGCAGGTGGCGGTGTGTGCTGTGAGCTGTGCAGAAGATGATGTTTTTTGGCTGAACCAGAAGGTGCAGCCAGGCCAGGCTGCCTCAGTCCGGAGTAAGCGTAACTACAGGCCTGTCGAGACCAGTGGCCGGGCCAGGAAGCACTCCGCACTGCTGTCCTTCCTGTGTCCGGGGGGGCCTGGGGCAGCCCCTTGGGTCCTCTGCACACTGCTTTGCCTGCAGCGCTGGTTGTGCTCCAAAAGAGGGATTCAAAGCCCAAATCTCCTTTTTATTTCTTTATGAGTTCCTCACCCTGTTTTATGGAGTGTCAGTTATCAGACCACATTCCTACTGCCCCCAAAATAAACTTTGCTGCCTTTAGTGGAGCACCCCCAGCAGAAGGTGATGCAACTCCTCCCCACCACTTCAGGGTGCTATTTGTAAACGGGCCAAAGTCCTGCTCTTTAAAGTGGTGGAGGATCCTGCCTCTGATAACCACCGCTCTGACACACCGGGAGCTTACGATGTCCTAATGTGCAGACCCTCCTGTCAGCTGAACTGCTGTGATTGCTGATAACAGTCTGGATACCCTAAGTCTATCTATATCTCAAGTGTGAGGTAATTTAACTAATTTTAGCTTGCAGTAAAAGGCAGTTTAACAGAGTCACTTTACCTGACTTTGCCATGACAAAGCAGTACATCTCCAGGCTTAGCTCAGCTCAGCTGGAGTGCGGTACAGCTTGTGCTGGGACATAAGTGGCCTTAGAAACTGCAACTTAGGCGTGTTGGGAAACAGAGCGTGTCAGGAGGGATAGATGACAGTAACTGCAGACATTGTTAGACAATACGGTATTGTCCCTAAAAGAAACTGCCAGTTATTTCATGGGGGAACCTTTCCTTCGTAAGTGCCAGGAGCAGGGTGTCCCTCACCTTTAGAAAAAGAAGACTGTGAAAACACACGGTTCCTTGCCCTCCGCGCACATGCAGTGTTGCACGTGCCTCAAGGTGATCCTGCACAAGCCGCAGGAGCTCCTTTCCTGAGCAGGCCGCGCTCGCCTCTTTTACTGCTCTACTACGGGCAGGCAGGTGCACATTGCTGGCAAACACCTGTGTTTTTCTCAACCCGTTTATTCTTCTTAACAGCAGTGGCTTGGTTCAGGGTCCCCAGTCCGTGTACCCTTCGCCTTCCTGCCCGCACATCTTAATGTACAAAACCAGCCTTTTAACAGGCATTGCCAGCCCCCTTTGGCAGTGACCATTGATTAACTTTACCAAATAATCTCCGTAGGTGGCCGGTTGCTTACTTTTTCTCCCGACTACAGATTTGATGGCAGACTTGATGGCAGATTTGATGGTTTGCCCTGAGGGGATAGTTATCTCTGTGTCGAATAGGATTTCTGTCTGAATTGAGGAGCCTCAGCCTTCAAGCTGGAAGGGAGTGAGCAATTGCTCCACCCTGGTGTCAGACTGCTGTAGGGTCTCTACAGGTTTGAAAAATGGCCTGTAAAAACACATGGGATGCAGTTCAGTAAGGACAAATGCAAAGTTCGGTACTCAGGAATAATCAGCTACATTGGTTTTGGGTGGAGAATGACAGACAAAGTAGATCTGCCTGAAAGCGTCTGGGCATTATGGTGAAATAGCATAAATCAGCAGTGTTATGTTGTTGAGAAGGGAAAATGAAAGCAATCATCTTGGACTGTAACGTAAGTATTGCCTCTGGGATGGATGTAGCAATCTAACCTGCCTACACAGCACGAGTAAAGCTTCAGTCGATACACCACATTCATGTGAGGCACTGCACTTCCAAAAAGATGCCAGATACTAGTAGAAGGTCCAGAAGAAAGCAATACAAATGATAAGACTGGGAAACTATCAGTGGGGGGGGGATATTTAAGACACTTCAATTTAAAGAAGTCCAGGGAATAGGTTTCTTCTTATCAAAAGATAAGACGTAAGGAGGGCGGGGGCATGTGTTGTCCTCCAGGTCCACTGTGGGTAAAATGGGACATACTGGGATGCATTTGATGCAGGGGAGATTCAGGGCAGGTACAGGGGAAAACTCAGTAGGCGGGTGGGGTACAGGATGAGATTGTCTGGGAAAGGTTTGTGGTCTTATTCTCTGGGGACTTTAAAGGAAAGGTGACACTGTCAGGAGTGTCATTGGTACCGTCAGCCCGGCTCTGGGAGGGGGATGCACCAGATGACTTCTTATGAATCTTTCCAGCCCTATTTATTTCTATGACTGTTTATTAATATCACCATGAATTTGACATGCAGGTGCAAAGAAAACAGAGAGACCAAACATAACATTTGGAAAGGAATTTGCAGTCTGGTACATACAGATAAATAATGAATCCCCAAGGTGAGCAGGATATATAAACTGATGGATTCCCTAAATCATCACACTTACTGTTTTGGATCGTTTTGATTAGAACCCTGAAGGCTACTAATTTTAGGACCTGCCAGACTGAGCAGTTATACCAAAAAAATACACACGCTTTGCTGTTGGTATCGACTGCTGTGCTGGTAGTCGGTTAGTGATTACCCTTCCCGTGACATGTTTTTTAATCCCCCCTGTGCATTGATCAGTGCAATTTACAACTTTTCACCTGGAAAGCTTGCAGACCACATGCTGTAATCTTGGCTGCTCCCATCTTTCAGATTTTTATGAGTCCTTGGGAAAACATTTTTGCTTAGCTAATGCATATTTGAAAAGCTGCTGAAACTGGAAAACTGCAGTGCCAGATACTGTACAGAGTCATGCTTAATCTACCCAAGACTTAATGAGCAGAGAAAATTGGAAAATGGTAGAAGGAAGGGTTACAATCTCCCTACAGTGTTTTTTAACAGCAGAATTTCAACATGCCCTCTTTGTTGATCAGCTTGCCTTCAACCTATAGATGCTATTAAGAACTAAAAATATTTTCCAGTCAGTCTTTCCCACCTTTGTGTGGAATATAAGCAATAGCTCAAATAAAATTGCGATCAGGAGATTTAAGTTGTTCCTTTAAATCTCTGCACGGGGAGGCACGGCAACTGGCTCGTAGCCCTGACTCCAAGGACCTTTTTGTCGTAATCTCTGTTTCAGTTTTTCCTCATGCCTGCGGTAAGAATAACGGTTTCTCCCTATAGCATGGAAATGGGCCTTAAATAATTACATCTTGAATGTTTATGCAGTGCAGTAAAATTCAGGAATACTGCAACAAATTGCATTATCTATCATGCCAGATATGAAAAAAAGCACCACATGTTGCAGTCTGATTGAAGATGAGGTATCTCTTAAGTTGCTTTTGTGCAAAGTTGAGGACTATCTCCGAAAAGCACTAAAGCTGTTTAATATTTAACACCAATGTGAAGTGCAAGCATTTGGTTACTGTAAGCACTGGGTTGTCTGTTCTAGTTATCTAGGTAATCCTGACTCATCTGTTGCTACAAATATTCACCAATTTCTGTTGTGTGACTTTCTGAATATGCAGCAGAGCAACTACGGGAATACTGCTTTAAACCTGTCCAGTTGTCCTGGGGTTATATTGCAAGGTGGTTTGGGTACCGATTCATCATCGATGCAAACAGGCAGAGAGGCAGAGTATTTATGTCGCCAAGGTCTACCGTGCAGGTCCGTAAGGTGGTGTGCAGGGTCCCTGCCGTTCCTCCGGGGTCTGGGAGTGCACTTGCCTCCAGGGCAGAGCTCAGAGGAGTAACTGAGTGTGCAAAGGTTTCCGAAGAGTACAGCTGCTCTAGAGCTGGTTTCAAATCCTAAGCTGGGGTAAGGAGAGATTTCAATGTAAGAAAGGTGAGATCATGGGGTCTTTCTACCGGGCAGAGCTGCATGAATGCTGATGAACTTGTATCACAGCCTCCTCTAAGATAAATCTAAAATGAGCAGCTGAGCACTTGCTTTGAATGTCAGGGCTGGTTTCACTGTCCTTCTCAAAGAAGCCGTTAGATTTTTCTGGTGTTGCAGCAAATGCTTGAAACTCCTTTCATTGTATTAGGATAAAAGCAGCTCCCAGTGAGTCTCGCTCAACACGAACACTCTTGAGTTGTGCCACATGCTTCTCGCTGTTACGCATTTATAAAGAATAATGCCAAAAAGCTCCCCAAAACACAGAGAGACGAGGGAGAAATTAGAGGAGATCAGAAGTGGATTCATGGCTTTCTGGAGCGTGCAAAGAGTTGCGTTTTACAGCCACTGCCTGTTACCTAAATGCAGCGCAAACGGACTGTTACCATTAACGACATACTCCTGCCCTCTGGCGGCTCTTGGGGGCTCCAGGGAAAAAAGCACTTGGGGCTCCTGTGCTCTTGCAGAGATATTTCATAAACCTGGACATATCTGAGTAACCTTGAGGGACAGGCACAGCAGTTGAATATTAACAGCGTTGTTCTGTTGTGCCTTTACGGCTGTTTGGTGCCGGGTGCGCCAGTCACGCGAGCGCCTGTGCGTTCAGAGCCACAGGCGGCACGTGTGTGAGGAAGCCGCCTGTGAAGTCAAGGCGGCTATGTTTTTTGCCTTTTAAAGTATCTGTATGTCCTTCAGGAGAAAAGACCTTCTGTGTAAATTAAACAGCTGAGGGGAATGTGAATTTACTAAAGCTTGGGAATCCTTTGACTTGTACCCAGATACATTAGTGCTGATAGTCGGTACACAAATATTATCAAATATTCTGCTGCATATTTGCCTAGTTCGTGTTTAAAAGTGCCTGACTTTCCAAAGGGTGATCGGGAGTTGTACGATAGAAGAGGATTTTGAAATAATGAGGTTGAATTTATAGTATTGAGGGGATGATATTGTGCATGAGGAGGCAGGCAAGAAACGAGGTTCGTGCTGGATGCGTCCAACATACTTTAATTTGTAAAATGCATCTTAATTCTATTCATGTGCTCTTAAACCAAGAGCGCCAGCGCAATTGATAAAGCATGAAGCCAGAGGTTTTTTTGAAAGCAGTAGAAATAAACCGAGGAAATTTTACTTCCCGATCTCCTACCTTAATCGTCAAATTCACAGAAAGTTACCACGTAGCTCGGCATGAACAAATGTAGCAAACCTGGCAGGCGGGTACCAAAGAGGGCTGCATCTGTTCGGCCGGGGGAAGTGCTGTACAGAGAGGTGTAAGGTAGTGCTGGGGAGGGGACTTCGAGTTCTGGGAGGGGCACAGCCACACGGCTGCTCTGTTATAGTGGTTACATTGCTTTTTCTTTACCATGGTTAGCTTATTTGGAGTGTTTGGGATACCGTGACGCCATATCCCATATTGTATTTTGGATTGTGAAGAACAGATTTGCAGCTGATGCAAAATGGCCTACTTCCACTGTTCCCGCTAACAGTCTAGTCCACCCTTTCTTTCACAAACCGTGCGCCCAAGAACTTCTCCAAATCTCTACCAAATATCAACATGGACTGCCAGGGAATTTTGGAAAATTTCAGATGCCCAGTGATTAGTGTTTCAGTGCTTGAAAAGCTAAAGTTCTCGGGTTTTCCCCTTTTTTCTCTTCTTCCTATTAAAACATCTCTCTGATGGTGTACTTCTATGGTGGCAGCAAAAAAGCAACTGTTCTTCCCAGTGGAAAAAAATAAATTGAGGTGAACTAGTATTCAATAGATAATTAGCATAATCTAATATTTCATGCTTTAGCGTATGTTCTACTACCATGTTACATATTTGTGCTACACTCTCATGTAAAATATATCATTTGCCTACAGAAAGGCAAACAGAAGACACAAAATAAAAATAAGATTTCCAGAAGAATGTCCTGGGTTTCGTTTTGTCACTGCCACTGAGGTGAAGTACCTAGATCTCAAAGCGTGAAAAGCTCCTCTGCGTTATTCTTTCCAGTGGAAGCAGGGTAATGTCCCCGAGTGGCTTCTGTATTCCCTGTCCCACATTTTCCTAGGGAAAAAAAAAAGGATCTTAAAGAGAAATGAAATATTATGAGGTGATGATTTTATCTCTAAAAAACATTTCCTGCAATTTGCGTTTGCCCAGATGAACAAACCTTTTTTCTTGGTCACAGGAAATCAATTGTTCATGCCAGGCAAAAAAAAATTTAATGGCTGCAAAATGTGAGAGAATTTCGAGGATTACAAGTAGCTGCAGCATTTTGCCTTTTACAGTTACATTAGGTAAAGTATACACAAGAGAGTACTTGGCATCTGCATATTTTACATAACTTGTTACTTTATGGGACTTGTTGTTTTATCTGGCAGCGTTTATTGTAGAGGTTGCCTGCAGATGCTTGAGCTTTATGGCGAAGGCAGTTTGAGGCTGAAGGGTGGGATTCAGCTGCCTTCTCTGAGCCAGCGCTTGTATCTGAGTCGCCTGTCGCCGCCGTAGGATCTGCCGGCGCAGTGGGCACTTGCAATGCTGCTTATTCTGCCCCTTGTACAGATAAAGTGAAGCCTTAATTCACTGCGGAAATTGCTCCACAAATTTGGCCAGCACTAAATTACTTTCATTGCACGCAACTGCTATATGTAAGACTACCAACAGCTTAAAATACCAGCTTTGGTCGGTGTTATTATTCATTAATGTATTTGCAAATCCAATTTCAGGTTGGTCCATTCTGGCCCAGGAAAAGGCTCACCACAATCTGGGGTGGATTTGTCTTTTGCAACCCGTACTGGTACAAGGCAAGGGATCGAAACCCACCTTTTCCGGACAGAGACTAGCAGAGACCTCTCACTGTGGACGAGGAGCGTGGTGCAGGGCTGTCACAATTCTGCAGAGCTCATCACAGAAATCACAACATGTGAGTAACACGTGCAGTGTCCCTTCTTCACACGTGCTCGCTGGGTTTTGTCCTCATGCCTGCTCTATTCTACGGACCGAAGGTTGCTATTCATTAGTCCACAGTCATGGGAAGCTCAAGCCATTTCTGCTAGAGAGGGTTCGTTTCAAAAATGTACAAATTAAGGTTGCATGTTGAAAACGTCGTTTCCTTGCTTTCCCACCCATCTCCAGCTTGTGTGGTACCTCTGGCCAGCACCATGAAACTAGGCCACAATTGCTGTCATTTTCTCAGTTTTCATCTTGTTTCCCTCACACTGTTTCAGACACAAGTTTCACAAGTTTGTAGTCAGTCCTGTGCAGCTGTGTAGGGCTGTTTGTCGCTAACAAGTGCTTGTTAGGTGTAGAAAGGAGCAGCTGCCTGCCGGTTTCCAGGAAACCCACAGAAAAGAGCGTTTTTGTGAGACCCAACAGACCTCAGAGACTGGTGGGAGTTTTTCCTGTGAAGGGAAGAGGCAGAGGAGGACAGGCCGTGCATACTGCATGTTCACAAGTGTGAGTTGTTCAGTTATTCACCCAGATCTGCACACTTCAAAAGAATGAGGAAATACAAACCAGTGTCATGGCTACATCTTGACGCCTGATCATTTCCCTCACAAGATACAGCCAGGCGTCTCTGAACACCAGTGCTGGTGTCCTCCATGCAAAATTGACTGGAATAAAAGTAATATCAGCTGCAGATACTCTGGCATAATTCCCCATTTATTCACCCAGCTGTTAGGCTGGTGCTTTGAGGTTGCACCTTTCTCTTAAGTCTGGCAGTGCTGCTGGGCGTGAGCATCTGGCTGAGTTCTCCCTTTCTGCTCTTTGGTCTGCTCTTCCCCCTCTGCCTTCTTCTGGGCCCAGCACCACACTACAATTTGTGAGTCCTTCCCTCACTAGCTCTCCAGTTGGTAGGGCTGTTAAAATTGAACTGTGTCTCCACTCAGCCTAAAAACGTCTGACTGACAGCCAAACGACGAACCTACTCTGCAGTAAGGCCAGAGCTGGCTCTGTGAAGACTTCATGAGTGTCCTGAGCACGGACATGCCTGGCTGTTAGCTACCCGACCCTCCACCTTGTTGAGAGCTCAGATTTTTTCACAAGTGCCTCTGAATGAAGTTGGAGCCAACTTGATGAATAACGGGGCATCAACCCAAGAGCATGTTTCTCTCCTTGAGCCCAGCACCCTCTCCTGACGTTGATGCCTCAGCCTTTTCTTTCAAAAAGCGGCAGGAGAGCATCAGCCCTTTCTTTTAACACGGTGCTGAAGGTAGTGCTAAGATCCCTTCTTGGCAGCATTATACTTACATCTGTGTCCAAGATTATGAATGATCTTGTAGCTGGGGCACTTGACATTTCTTCTAGTGAGCAGTGTCACCATCCAGAAACTAAGCTCAGGTTAATGAGGTCGCAAAGAGTGAACGAGGGCCTGTGATTCAATTGCTGTGTGCTTGGGCCAGTTGATCGTGTTGTTCTTGACATGAGGCTCCTGAAAAGAACAGAAGTATTTTATATGGAAGAGTAACTGGAAATCAATATTTGAACCGCACTGCCTCTTCTCACCATGACTGAAATGAAAGGGGCAGCTGCTGCTGCGTGTTGTGCAGAAGGCGGACAGATGGGTGCTGCCAGGCACGTGCTGAGACAAGTTACCAGATTGAGCCCTTGAGAGGAGATGAAAAAATGAATGCCTGATTTTGGCATCCTTGGCTTGGGTATGTGATAGTCACCAGCCTGCTCAGCTCTGCTGGAGTGGAGGTGCTGCTGGGAATGTGAGGAATATTTAGCCTTTTGGGGAAAGTTTTAGGTAAAAACCTTAGTTATCAAAGGAATTCAGATGTAAAAGGGGAAAAGAGAATTTGTGATGTGCACACCTAAACTCTTTTTCTTAATTTGGATCAAGTTCTGTGCTTCTGAGCTAAGGAAGAGATGCAGACTTTCTGCTGCACTAGCCGTTATATACAATTATCTGGGCCTTTTTTCAATTACGATGACACTAATGAGGACTCAAGAGTGTCTTCATCTTTGTCAACATTCTTTAGGGATGCCCTTTACAGCTTCTAATTTTTGTCACGCATTGTGTGACACGTTTATTGATTTTGGCTATGTCACACTTAGCAAGAAGAGTGGCTGTGACTTTGTCAAGTTTTGGAAGGAGGAAATGCCATGCTGAGTCTTCTTAAATGTCATCAGCTTGTTTTTGCATGAGCACCTAGATGTATACACTGCAGGATGAGGAATGCATCAAATAAATCAAAGGACTGCCATCAGTGCTACTCTTGCCAAGAAGAATTTTAATCTGTGTTTATAGAACGTAACTAACAAGGCTTGCTTGGATGTTGCACAACAGAATGACTTCAATTACTTTTTCAAAATCTGCAGGTTCACAATTAGAGCGTGATGATTGACTTGTGCCCAGTCTTTAGGAGCGGTTAGCTTACACACAGGACTGTTGAGAGGAGATGTAAAATGCTAAGTTTGGAGTATTTGCCCCCTCAAATTAGCAATTGTGAGTACAGTTGCACCTTTTAAAGACACTACTTTCACTATTCCAGTAAAAACAGGTATCATCATTAATATCTAGTACTGCAGCCAAATGTAATTTATTGCTTTTAGGAATGTTAAGTTCTAAATTTTGTTTTCTTCTTCAGCTTGCACGTATAAAAGCCAGGAGTGCCGTTTGACCATCCATTATGAACATGGATTCTCTCTTACAACTGAACCACAAGATGGTGCCTTCTCTAAGACAATCGCACAATATCCCTACGAAAAGCTAAAAATGTCCTCAGATGATGGGATTAGGATGCTTTATTTAGACTTTGGAGGAAAGGATGGAGAAATTGTAAGTACTGCGTTTAGCAAGAGGGATGCAAATTACCATCTCTTTGCTGGGCCTTAAGGTTATAAGATGGAAAAGCTGGCCGGTATAGATTCCAGTACCAGTGTTTAGATGCCATGCTTTCTAGTGCATGTCTTAGAGACAAGCTAAGAATAAAGGTGAAAGAGTAAAATCATGCAAGGAGGGATGAAAAATTTCTTACATTTAAGAACAAATTGCTTCCCTGTATGGCCAGGTATTAGATTTGTTTTAAACACTTCTGGTGATCTAGTTGCTGAAAAAATTGAGGACTACAGATGTAGTGCAAACTGTCTCCGTAGGTCTCTAAGTTAGCTGTCACAATGCCTAAAAATAAGGTGCTTTTCCTATGAAAGGTTTAGATACCATAAATTATGCATGCAAACCTGGTCTTTCTTGCCAAATTTTTCAGCAGTTTCTAAACACATTGGGTGCTTAATTCTTCACATCACCCTTGGTAACATACTTTGCAAACTGCTTACTATGGAGGCTGTTAGTGTGCTTCTGAACGGAATTTGTTACTAGCTCTTGATAAAATTGCTCTTGATATATGATTGGTGAAAGACAAATCTGGTTTGTTTGTATGTTATCCTAGTCTTGAACCTACTGCCCACACTGAGAAGGCTCTCACATTTAGCAAGCGCATGGTGAGATTGAGCTGTGGTCATGGAAGGGAATTAAAAAAAAAAAATCTCAGTTCAGTCTTGCTCCCTGCAGCTGTGTGAACCCAGGAGCAACCATACTGAGTCCGATAAAGGTGCAGTACCTTGTCTTCAACAGTGAGCAAAAGCAGATGCATAAGGAAAAGGATGAGAACCGGGTGGCGGATACAGCGGTCCTACAACCAGTCTTGTTCTCAAACAGAGCTTGCAAAGACATAGGGGTTGAACTTCTTGGAAAAGTGCATGCAGGGTCCAGCTCCTAGCGTCCTGCTGCTTGCCCAGGTGAATGCAAGCCCTGAGGCTTGAGAATGTCACAGGCTCTCAGCATACTTATTACTTACTTTCAGTTGCTTAAATATTTACAGCTGTATGCAAATAAGCTACAATATGATGGCTGTGATAAAAGGTTGTTATTAATAGAAGTCTATTGAAAATTCCAGACAGCAGTTAATGAAGTAAACGCTCAGAAGATTGTTGCTTATTTGAGCCGTAATCTAATTGAGTCGCTCTCAACCTGATCTCTTTTGCAATTTCAGCAACTGGACCTTCATTCCTGTCCAAAGCCAATTGTGTTCATCATTCATTCCTTCCTGTCGGCTAAGATTACAAGACTTGGTCTGGTGGCATAAGTGGGATATACCTGTTTCTTCTAAGAAAAGTGGAGTGACCTTGCTAATCTGAAGTACAATCAACATTAGAAACCTGTAACAGCTAGCAGTGTACACGAGATTGGAGTTCAGTACTGGGCCTTGGTAATTTCCGGCAATCTTCCAAAGCCTGGCTGTCATGTTGATCAGCTGAAGCGATGACATGAAGAGGAAAACAATGGATTTCATTGTAAATAATGGGATTTTTAAATCCCATACTGGACAGCAAAAGAGTGTAGTACTATATGTGTAAAAGTTCCAGAATCATAAATTGTGCCTATTTCAATGTATTTGTATATAGAATAAGTAAAGGGCTAAGCAGATAAGAGCAGGCACTTGGTTGTAATGCAAGATGAAGGTTGCCTGACAAGTTCGATAAACAAGACTGTCCCTCCACCAAAAACTCATATATATTTTTTTCTGTTCTAACTTGTGCACCATTTAAATAAAATTTTCTTGCGGGAGGAGCAGAACCTGTTCCTTGAATACCCAGCAGAGCATGCAAATTTGCAACTTTGAGTAGGATGCCCTAAAGCAATAAAGAGATGGTCAGTGAAGAGCTCAGGGAGGGGGGGGGGGGGGGGTGGGGGGCACTTTCAAATCAAATGATAGGACATCTTGTGCACATTCCTAGAGACGGACCCAAAACAACAGCTGTAGGAAGGTACTGAGAGCCAGTCTGTTGCTGAGAACAGAGCACAAGAGGGTAGGGTAGAAGCACACAGGACATATATTTTCATAGTCCCTTTCCAGAAGGGTTCGAATGACTTTGAGCTTCAGCTACCCAGGATCCCAGGCTCAGTTAAAAGTGAGCATTTTGAAATGTGACTTAAGCTTCGGACAGCATGCTTCCACTTCAGCGTTTTCCAAGAGAAAGACTTAAGAGCTTCCTGTCCTCCTACCACCAGCCCCCTTCATCAGCTCTGCTGCTGCTGCTTGTAGATTTAACTGTCAGTCAAATGATCTTGATTGAAGAACAAACTTGAGGAGTGAGGAAGACTTGTTTTCTAAATTAGATGATTAGAAAAGTTACTCAAGCTGCTCCACAACACTGAGGAAATGCACAGAGGCAGGAACAAAAGCTTTTCCTGCCAGAGAAGCCTTAATACAGAACTGCTCCTGCAAGGGTGACTTGGAGCTTAGACCTTTTTCCTGCTGCTAAATCAGCTACATTAAGGAACTCATTAAGACAGACTTCATTTTTTTAGCTTAAGATAACTTTAATTGCATTTGGGTGTGATTCCAGATGCATTCCTTGCTGGTAAAACTTATTTTAAGATGTTGACCCCTATACCCATAAATTACTATTTCCTATTTTGCACCACGCCTTATTATTTTCAGTCAATACACCTGAATCAGTAAGTCTGAGCCTGGTTCACAGTTACGCTGGGGACAAAGGGGGCAGCAAGGCAGGAACGCTGGAAGCTACTTCTCCATCAAAGGTGATACACACGTGCTGCACCTGGATATACTAAATTGGCCTAATGTGGTTGGGTAGGAAGAGAAAGAAATAGAATATGGATTGCATTGATATTGCTCTTAAGTTGTATGCAGAACTGCTTCATGTAGTGTTTTTTTTTTATTTCCTTTTGAAGTTTTGCCCTAAATTCACACTTGGAAGGACAGGAACTATATAGGAAGTAATAAATCAGAAGTTCACTTGTAATACTACAGTGCTTTCATACTTGAGAAAGCCAGTGAGTTTCAAGGTAACGTCACTTGGCTGGCAAAGAAAATTGAAAACACTGTATGGTTCCATGTTGTTTTTAAGCTAAGTCTTGAGAAGTAATAGTAAGTCATACTGCTTATTCACATTGTAGGAATTAATTTCTGGTAGTTGTTGTAGGTATCTTAATCATCAAAACTGAAAAAAATTTAAGATGATAGGCTGAATTCACAAATACTGAAAGGCTGAATTCAAAAATACTGAAAATAACCATTTTAAGACAGTAGCTACATTGACATTTGGAGTAGCAGCCCCGCTCCCAACACCTCCCTTCAATCAAAAAGAGTCAGAAAGGTGATTTACGGAGCTGGGAACTTCCAGTTTTTTTACTATCATGGTACTTGCAGTTAAAATTTAATTCCTTGTGTAAATTCACAAGTTAGGAGATACGTTACATAATTTACCAATGATTTCCCAAATGTACATTTCGCATGTAGCTATCAGTGCCACTCACATAACCTTCTGTAGCAATTATTTGGGTGTCCTTTGCTTTGGAAGCTTCTAGGATAAGAAGCTGCATGTAGCCGGTACGTTGTGGGAGTAGGCCTTTGAGGACAGACTCAAAGAGCACTTTGTTAAAGCGTTGTGTGAAGTTTTTAAAAAGTGTGTTTCAGGGCACTGTGTGCAAAGTATTTTATTGACGTTCCAAAGTATGACTTAAAAATTTGGACCTAGATTCCTAGATTCCTAGAAACGTTCCAGAAGTGAGAACTTACATACTGTGGGGTAGGTTCAATACATATGTCAACTGCACTATTTCCTTGTTCCTTTTACACTTAAAAATCACTGGAATGTTATACTTAACGCGTATGTGCATTGTAAATACTACAAATTCCTATATTAGTATGAACAATTGAATTACACAGTATGTAATCTAAGGTGCTCAGTACTATATGAAGTGAATAACTAAACAGTTTGAAAAAAGTTCGTATTATATATATTTATAGAAAAAATATGATAATTACAGATGCTATTTCCTCATTTTCAGATTTTGGACTGATTCATATTTGGATGGGATAGACACATGAAATATGGACCTACTCCACATTTATAAGAGTATAGTGAATATTTATATTTTAGAGGAAAAGAATATATTTAATAAAGTCATTTATTGGATTTTTGTGAGGTGAGCTTACTTTGTACCCAGACAAGCTGTTGAGAAGGCTGTGCTCTGTTTTGGGGCTGGGGAAAATACATTTTAAACCTTAGTCGTTCTATCTTAATTCAATTACTTCAAACAACTGGTTCATCATATTAACCAGATGACTTTTAAAAATCAGTAAAGGTATTAATGTACTTTCAATGTTGCCTTGATGCTTTTTATTAAGTAAGCTCAGCATTCATACGATAGTAGCGCTTTCGATGTCAGTCTCGAAGCACACTTAAACAGCATTTTTGTGCTGCTGGTGTTTACTAAAAGCCAAGAGGATGATCTGGGCAAAGTCGTTCAGACTCACCAGCTGAAGTCACAGGGTTTTCTCTGGCGCGTGTACGTACGAGGTGGTTACGGCACGCGTAGTAGCAAGGCAAACGCAAGCCTTGCTTAGTTCTCATAAACCCCCATGGAAAAAAGGATTTGTTCCCCCTCTTGCTCCCACTTCAATTCTTAATTTAGTACCCCAAATGGAGAAGTTAACGGTGGGACTGTAAGGCTGTTTGTTCAGTCTTACCTGAGGTATAGCAGACCATGGAAATCCTGGAAAGGCGCGATGGTAGAGTTCACTCTTTTCACAAGACGCTGCCTGTAAATTGAACGTTCTGCTCAGAAAGTCTGTATAGAAGCTTCACCTTCAGAGAGATTTGGATACATATGGGAAGGTACAGGATACTGGAAAAACGTGATACGAGCTGTTTGTCAGAACATAAAACAAAGCTGATCTGATGTCTTCAGGGAAGCATACTGATGTTTCGTTAAGAGTCTGGTCTGTAAGAATTACAGTATGTACGTATTAAAAACAGCAAACAAAACGCACACCTCGATGGTTCCTTTGTCGTAGTTCCCACAAAGAAGGGAAAGTCAATTTACTTGAACAGGATGGGCAGGGCAAGACCTATTCACTTGCCTAAAAACCATCTTTGGAATTACTGTTTCTCTTAAGGTACTTTATAAATTAGAAGGCAACTCTTCAGGCGCTACCTGAAGCGTACACCATGAACAGCATTAGAAGTTTGTCTTTGCCAAATAAGGAAGTATTTTCTTTTCTAGGAAAGGTAAGTATTCCTCCTTCCCATATGATAGATATGGATGCACGTGTCATCTAGCTTTTCACATGCCTAAGCACAGCTGGGTTCAAGGAGAGTTTGGTCTGATTTCAGTCTGCAGACAGACTCCCCAGTGTCCTCTTAGCAGTGCTTAAAAGTTAATTGGCGCTTTGCCTTTGTTTTCACTAGAAGCACAATTGGGGCCTTAACACTCTCATGCTCCAGACTATTTCTAGCATTGATTTTTAAGTTTCTTTATCTTATTTTTCTTACTCATAAATAGGACTAGTTTCTAATTGTTTACTGGGGCTATTTTGCCAGAAGGAAACAAGAAACATTTATAAAGTAATTAGGAATTCTATTTGAAATGGATGCTCATGAATTCAAAGGTGACTTCATGATTAATAGCAGATATTAGTAATAACTAGCAAATTTTCAAGCAGCTGTCAGCATGCTTGATACGCGTGAAGAGTTTAGTGAGACACATAAGTAAAAAACATTAAAGTAACCTATCAGCGACTTTTTCACATAGGAAATAGCTTCTCAAGTTGTTTCCTTCCTCACGGTTTCTGTGCTTATGTAAATAGTCGTGGGCATTGGAAAACAGCTCCCAGGGAGGAACTGGAGAGTTTGGGAATTCGGAGAAGCGTCTGTACTCGTGATAAATTCTGTTACAGGGGAGTGTTACGGTAATTGCACTGTGACTATCACTAGGTGAAGTGACCATCTCATCACATGTTCATTACATCAGTTTTGTCTCACCCCAGTGCTGTATACTAAGACCATAATGTGGATTGGAGATAGACCATAGATGTGTACTGGTGAACATGATTTGCATCCTGACTTGTCTAAACATGAAAGCAAGCAACCAAACCTTCTGCAGTAAGGTAAACATAGGTTGGATTTAAATATGGGTTCATCAGCCACATGAAAAAAAAAATATTCCAAGTAGTTTAGAGGCACAGGGTTGTTGCAGTTCTGTATCACCCAAGTTGCTCCTACACTTCAGCTGAGCTGTGGGAACGCTTAGTGTGGCTGTTTATACCAAGACAGATGCAAGATAATTCAGTTTAGCACTGTCATTGTAGACCAGGTCAAATTATTTTGCGTGCTTTTCTGTAGGTTAAGAGCATGCACAAGGACCGTTATCACAGCTCAAACGGGGCACAAGTGGTTAAGCCACAGTAATAAACTAGCTGTCACTTACCCTAGAACAACGATATAATGACCAAGTGCAGGTGAGACATGCGCAGCGCTACATTGGTTCAGTATTATTAATCCTACAAATAAACGATACATCAAAATGCTAACGTTTCTCTAACCCCTTTCCTGGTTACTATTTCAGGTTGGCCTTTGAGTCTGCAAAATCAATCAGAACAATAACCACTGGTTTCAACTTGCTCATGAAGTGAGACAGTAGCAAAATCCAAGGCTCCCTAAGTAGAGGAGGAACAGGAAAGGCTGGGGGGGAAGCCCAGTTTTTTATAAAAGCTCTTTTACAGGTAGGTACAAACAGGTTTTTTCTGTCAAGACAGACAGTTATAGATTAGGAATTACCTCCCTGAAAATTATTTTCTTTGCTCATGGTAACTAGCTTCAAATATTCTATGAAATGTAAAGTTTTGATCCTGCTGCTTATCAGATTACACATCCTCAACCAATTTATTAACTACAAATTATCTTTCCAATCTGCTATATACTAGTATGCAAAACCCCCACAATATTAACTAGGAAAAAAAAAAAAGGAATATCGGCATTCATGTTCAAGATATCAGATCACATTAAGGCTTTTTGCTCTACACTCAGAGGTAGAGACTTTCTGTATTCCACAATGGACAGAAAGGAAGATCAATGTCTTCATTCCAAGATTCTTGCTTTGTGTGCAAATAATTTTAACATGTTAGAAGAGTAAGTATTCATAAATTTTAAGTATTTGGCTGTAAAGATATTCATACAATTACATGATTAAACAATTTGCCTTGAATACAAAGAAAGAAATGTAAGCCATGCACAGTTAGTATTACATGGGCATCCACTTACTAAATAGTTATTTAAATGTAATTTTAAATTGTATTTAAATTATTTTATTGTGCTCGTATTTCAGCAAAACATTAAAACCCTTTAAATTATTAACCCAGATGCTGTGGATATGTGGCATTTTGAAGGCAAATGTAATCTAGCCCCAAGTAGTTGTGTTTGTCCTGAGCTGACTCCAGAGTAGTCAGCTGAGACGCACGTTGTGCCAGCTAGAGCTCACTGGCACAGCAAAGCAGCCACATAGCTCAGAGCACAGTTAAAACAAGTACACAGCCACATATAAAAAAGGTCATCTAGACTTAAGCAGAACAATACACACTGGAATAAAGGAACACAAGAGTTAAATGCAAGATCCTGTTGGATTAAAGAAAGAAAGAAAGAAAGAAAGAAAGAAAAAGAAAGAAAGAAAGAAAGAAAGAAAGAAAGAAAGAAAGAAAAATCCACAAACACCACACTCCTTAGGGCTTGTCTTTACACAATAGTAGAACGTGACAAAGAACAAAGTCAGAAAGACTCCTTAGAGAATAGGGTAGATCCAACACTATTAAGAAAGTCTAATCTACACATGGTTTAGTTCAAGTATAATTTTATCAACATATTGATTTAAGTGTGGCTTATATTAGTATTGCTTAATTCATTTTCCTTCCAGGAGTATATAGCAAGCCAGTAACACTGTGACACTATCGATTTTAACCATGCTAGTTTACATGAGGTATAAGGAATCTTTATATTGAAAGCTGTAAAAATATATCTGTTTCGGTAGGAACACCTCCCCCCCAACCAAACATAAAATTAAATAACTGTACCAGTACAAAACAAGCACAGCCCTAAGTCTTAGGCAAATTGAGACTGAATTTGGTAATTTACTTCTCTCCTGTACATTTAACTACAATGTGCCCACTGTTACACAGCTGTCACAATCATCATTACTATTATCATTTTGATTATTTTCCCCAGTGTAGAACTGTTTCTAAGGAGTGTTACAAAGAGAACACATGAAACTATGTCAGAAATTCAGCTTATACTCCCCTTCTCTCAATCATCCTTCCTTTAATGGGAGGTTGCATCAGCTTTCAATAGACATGCTTATTTTATTCACATATTACGACATGGAAAGGATAATTGTGACTTCAATTCTATTTGTATTCACCTGCAGAACAAATAGGAACTATTGTCATTTACACTACAAGAAGTCCACACTGTAAGCAGTTTTATCCAGTTTATTTATAAAACAGCAAGTAACTGCAAATAAAATAGAGGTCTTTCTGTGCAAAAAGGTAAAATAGCCTTGTTGTTCCAATTAAATACAGCCTTTTGTATTCATGTCAGTAACAAATCCTCATTGAAAAAAACAAAGTTTTATCAAAAAATCAAATCAAGCTGCATTCCTTTTAACAATGAAACACAATAAATAGGCATATAAAAAACTATTTTCATTTGAGTTTTAAATTATAATAAAAGCTATCAGTATGAAGTTTCAAAACATGCTACTTGGCTTGAGAATTAGATCTACATAATTACTCTAAACAAAACTCTTCATGTGTGTGTGTGCCTGCTGTGTGCCTGTCTGTCTTTCACCCAGTTTAGTGTTTCTCATACAATGAAAAGTGCTCTCTCTCTGAAGTTTCCAGGAAGGTGTGAATAGCATCCATTCAGTATCTCTAATTGTCAGTCTTCTCTAACACCCACTCAATCACCTAGGAAAGTAAATGAGAAAATGAATTATCCACATAACTCCTGTTCTGGAAGGAAATTAAGAACATGCAATGTACTTTGGCAATTCTTTCTTGAGCTGTGTATTTTTCACTCTGCCAAGAATTAAAAGGTAACCCATTCAAAAGAAGAAAGAGTATTAATAAACAAACTGAGCAGCTGTAGCGCTACCAGCGAATTGTATTTAATCCTACAGAATGCCTTGTCTTTAGAGAAAGACATTTTTAGATCCCTTGAACTGAGCTACTTCACGCCACGCTCCATGTACTAGCGGCAAGGTACGCGCACAACACTAGATAGCTAGTGTTTCCACCGAAAAAAATTCCTAAGTCGTAAGGGGAAGGATTGTTTTGACAGTGTTGTATCTGCTGCCACTGTTACTGCTGTTTCCCCAGACTGGGTGGTTGTTCGGACCACTGAGGAGTGCTGGGCAATTAGATTTTTTGTAAGGTAGTGTTCAAAGTATCCTTTAATACAGAGAGAGTTGGCCAACTTTGAAAATTCTTGGTTTTAATATCTCTTTGCCAACAGCATTAATGTTCATACATAAAACTACCAACTGGTATTCACAGTCAAAGACGGCGGGGGAGAAACAGCACACCAGCACAACACCCCAGTTTAACATCAAACCTCAAAACCTATGTAGCTTTCGAACCGTTATGATCTGCAGGAACCAGTTCATGAGGGAACATGGGTCAGAACACAAGAAATACTACTCTGATAGGATAACATGGGTAGGGAACTAGCACTTCTCCTTAAGAGTTTGAAAGGTTTTTATTAACTAGCCCAGTTCAAATCCTTACATTTAATTTATAACTTTGAAGACTATACAGTAAAAATCTAAAAAAAATTTTTTCATCACAGAGTTACTTCAGTGTGTTTTCCAGAATTTAAAGCAGAGGTGCTCAACTTCTGGAGGACAGGAGTACCTATTACTCCTGGCATTCCCGCTATACTAGTGTTCACAAAAGTCTCCCCTGTACAGAGATAAGCTCACTTGATCTCTCTTTTCACTTTTGTCTACAGATATTCCCGAGCTTAAAATTACTAAGTTTTACACTGCTTCTTTTAAGAAGTTTATTTCCTTTTACAGATGCCTTTCTTGCTTCCTGACCTTTGAAAAGAAATGTCATTTCCTCGAACACAGGGAAAGAAGAATTCCCAAATGGTCCAAATTCCTCTCAAGGAATAATCTCAAAGGCATTTTTTCAGTGACGTGGAAAAGTTTATTTTCTTCATTTACATCTCTCGCTGTGCCAAATCACGTCGCCAGCTATAACTAGAACACTTGCTAAAACATCAGCCCATGCAACTGGAAGTTTTGCCACGGGACTACTGATTGAGAGAGTTTTTGTGAGATCACAGAAGTGAACCCAGACCACAGCCAAAGAAATGTTTTTATTCACCTCTTAGAGCTGTGGACCAAACCACCCTACAGCTAAGCAGCAACAACTGCCTTTGGCCTCAGTTAGTTATAGAAACATCTTTTCAACTCAGCGTTACCTGTTTAACATTGTTATTTGCCGTTTTCTTCATTTCATCAAGAAGTCCTCTAGAAGTTTTCAGATCCTAAATATGAAGCACAAAGCCACAGAGATTAGGACGCTCGTATGTTCACTCTAGTCAGATGATAAAAGCACCAGTTAACTGGGGGACCATATCCTTTTATCACCTTTCTCAGAACTGCAGAACTAGAATTATTTATTTGACTCTGATTTTGTGTTGAAGAAATAATCTAAATGCGCTCCAATTGGGCTTCATCCTTCCTGAAAGCAGTTCAAGCCTAGTACTCAAGAGTGGGACTGAACCACTGTTGCTAACCTTTCACAAACTTCCAGAAAGACTTCCCTCCCCCCGCTTTCTTCAAATGACATTCAAAATTCTTATAGTCTTGACTGAAATCTTAATTCTATATAAACGTGGAAATCAACTATGCCCTTCTACTGCAAGACAGAATTCAGGCAAAGAATAGAAAGAAGAACTTGGAGAAAAAACAATTCAATGCAGAAAGGAAAAACCTAGAATGGCTTATCTGTTCCGGAGCCCAATCTTCCCAACCTAATCCGCTTTAACAAACAAATTAAGCACCTTAAAACATTGCATAAAGAGAAAGGAAAATTAAGCATGTTCATTTTGCTGCTTGTTTCCAAAGGAAAATGATTGTCTACAACACCATTCTTCTGAAGCATGCTGCACAGATAAGGAGTCAAAAGGCTCTTGCAGATTTAGGGCTGCAAGACAGGATCACTGCAGCACTCTTCCTTTTGCTCTCCTAGTAGCAATGGAACCAGTAACCATCTGATTTCCCCTAATCACTCAGTCCTACACAGGTTTTTTCTGACTTTGGATTAGGAGATTTTCCTTCAGGGCATATTTCAGGGAGATTTGCGAAGTGATTACAGAATGACTGCACAACTGAGTAAGTTGCTGCTCATCAGCAAGCTGCTATAATTGTCTGTGTGAACTTTCAGTCCTCTTCAATTGCAGAGCAACTTCATTTAACTTAAATAGCTTCTATTAAAGTTCAATCTAAACTGAGTTAGTTCACAAACTGTGGTAGGCTAAATGCACGCAAATGAACAGAAACAGAAGCTCAGCTCCTGAGCAATAGCTTGTCAGACTCCCATACTGCATTTTTATTCAAATTTGTGCCAAGACTAAGTAACCTAGGCTCAAATATTGACCTATAAAGTCTCTTAGGTATTGCTGAAAGACTTGTTTCTCATCTCCTCCTAAAAACGAAGCTGATACGATTCCATAGGGTGCTGCCAGATAACTGCAGCAGTTAAGAGAACAATACAGTACAAGCAGGACCTCACCCAACAGCACACTGCATTAACATGTTACCTCACATAAAAGACCACAGTTTTACCAGGTTTAAAATCAAAGCCAACAAATAAACAGGAAAAACAACAAAAAATGCTCTGTAAACATAGCTTCTGCATTTGATTACAAGTCCAAAGGTTTTTCCACACATTCCATTTCTAAACGTGTTACTAACATATAATGAGGAATCATTCGCATAACCAAATCTGAACATCCTACAGTCATTCTCCACTTATATTCAGCAGTGGATTCATTTAATTAAGCACATAAACAACTGCGAGAGCATGTCTTCTGGTTACCTTCAGGTAGAACTTGGATATCTCAAATAGACGCTGGCTGCATGATGCAAAGCATTTGTGATCATCTGCAATCCCATGTTTTTGAAGAGTTTTGGCCACCACCTCCTTCAGCATCTTGGAAACAACACAAACACACTCAAAAGTTGATCCCAATTATTGGCATGAAAGGCTGTCCAAGAAAAACAAAGTCACACTTGCTTTCTTTATCTTTGCCCCACAATAGGGGTTAAGATGATGGGAGTTATAATATACTGAGAGGACTAAGGGGGGAAAAAAATCCTTAGGTTTGATCTTGCCTCTGTGCCTCTGCCATTAATCCAGTAGATAAATCTGGGCAGGGTTATTTTACAATCTATTTCCATTTCCTTCATCTCAAAAATTAAGAAAATGTTTAAATGTTACAGCAATTCCAAAGACCAGTGAATACTCACATGGGGCTATGAAGACAGAACATTTTCTCTAGTGTCTCGGGTTCTCTCTTTCCCAAAATACTATATATGCTACTTTCCTTTATATTGGTATTTTGATGTTCAATACATCCATATTAAAAAAGAAATTCAGACAATAGAATCAGATCAAACAGTATACTCTGACATTCTTCACATCAGAGATGCTTGAACTTTGCCGTAGATCTGAATGAGTCTCACACCACTTTATGCTTACTCAGGTCATCCCAGCTTATCACATGTGCCAAGTATGCATGAATATTAATAATAGGAAAATACCCTTTAAGGGAAGATCTAAACATATCTCCTTCAGCTGCTTGCTGACAAGGCTCTCAAATTTTGCAATTTTTCCTTGGCATACAAAACAAAGTTGTCAAAAGCTCTCATGGCAGGGAAGCAACAACCTGAAAAACCTACATTTCAGACTCTCCAATACAAGAACTAAGTTTTTCCAAAACATGAATTTTGTTGCCAATCACAGGTGTCATTCTAAAGACATTCTCCTTCTAAACATAAAAACAGCTATTAATTAAACATTATTGCATCAAAGTATTTAAATGTTCTAGTAATGAATGCATACAACTACTGGAGTATCTTTTCATTCGCAAAATAGTCCTGTTCTTCTGCAACGTCTTTGTCCTTCCAGCATAGATGTTTCTTTGATGCCTTTAAGTTCTATATACATTTTCTACACTTTGAAATGCCCATTCATGGATACTTATTACTGTTCTTTTTATTCCTATCTGTTATCGCTCTCAGCCTAACTTCCCTGGGCACTATATAATTATTTCTTATATGCTTTTTCCGTTCCTACTTTCGGAAAACTCTCCTCAGTGCCTTCAGGACTCACTTACAGAAGGGAACAGAATGAAATTTAATAATAATTAATAGAAGAAGAAGATACACTCCACATTTCGGTTTAAAAAAAAAAAAGAAGTCAATCTACACATGGAAAAGAAGTTAAACAGACACTTTCTCAAGCATTAAGCAAACAACACAAATCTTTACCCTCGTGTGTTTTTGAGATCTCGATTCCTTAGCTGGCTTTGAAGTCTCAGCTTCTGTTGCACTTATGCGACTTGCTGAGCCAGCCTTTGTGGTTACTTTGTGAGGCTGACAGGACTGTTTCAACGGCGCTGAAGCTAAAGAAATTGATCTTTCTGAGCGCTTCCTGGTTACTGCAATTGAATACTGACTTCCACTACTACCGCTTGCCTGAGAAAGGAGAGAGTCTGTGCTCTCAGATTTGGTTAGCCTGCAGGAAAAAAGAGAAAAGAAAGAAAAAATTTAAATTTTGTACTAGTTCTTTGCTTCTGCTATAGAGGCTGCTATATAATTGCTAAAAATATTAAGTACTCCACATTCTTGTAAACAAATAGAATCTGAAAACGGCAGTCATTGTTCTTATTAATATAACTTTCTTCCTATTAGGAGAACACTTCACTGTTGGATTTGGTCTGTGACACTTAAATCCATATCATCTCCAGTTAAAATATTCTAGAAACAAACTGAAGAAATTAGATAACTCTTTGGAAGAAGGACTCATTTTGCATATGGAGATTTTCCCTGGATAAGGCAAAGCTAAGTTTGCCGGAATCAAGAGCCAGCTTCCTGAAACTAGCCAGTTTCTTTTGGCCTTCTAGGAAGTGTGCATTTTATTTTTAATCTTTACCCAAGGGAACTTGAAAGTTGCAATGCTACTGAAACCTTGCGCTATTTGATCCTTTAACAGTAAGTAATTCTAACAGTTAGTAATTCTGAAACATCAATTGTATGAAGCGCTAAACACAATCCCATCTTCTCTTCTAACCATTTAGTAAACTCCAAGAGATAGCGACATTCCTAGAATAAACAGGGCTGACAACTGAATAAGTTTGGATTTGGGTGGGTCATTTTATACCAGAAGTCCTTGGATTAGGAATTCAATTATTCTGTTTGTGCAACACACAGCTTTCTAAACCTCTAGTTGCTTATTTGTTTTGCAACAGCTCGGACAGCTTCAGTCCTGGATGAAGCTATCTGTCATTCTGTCAAAGGAATGCAACACTTTTTGCAAAATACAACCCCAAATCTTTTATTTAAAAGGACCCTGTGTGGCATGGTTTTGATTAATCTAAGGTCACCCTTGAGAAACAATGAACTTACAGAAGAGGATTAAACTACTAGAATATTTGTCCAGATAGCTTTGCCTAAAAATATTTCAAGATGAAAGGTAAGATGCATTTCACAAGCAACTACTGAAATATTTCATGCTAAAGATTTATTTTATTCAGTACATTACCTCTTCTTGGGATAAAAGCAATCTAAGTCTTTTGATCTGCGTTTTAGCCTTGATGCCTCCGTTCTCAATTCGCTTTGTAAAGATTCTCCATCCGGGACACTTCCAGGCTCTGACAGGACTGCAGGAGATGGCAGAGGGCTCAGGACAACGGGTACAGGGCAGCACTCTTTGGTGCAAGTAGTCTGAGTTTCGTATCGAATAAGACGAGTTTGAAGTTCAGCATATCCCACATCTCTCTCTAAAGCTTTTCTGTTATCTAGACAATACCTAAAATTGAAATTTGTGAGAAGTCTGTGAGGAAAAAGTGTGATTTATTATAATCAGAAAAATGGAACAACTTATTTTTGACCATGGCATAATCTCCAACTCTTTTTTGGTTGAACTGATGTATTGTTCTGAAAGACACCTTAAGAGCTGCCCAGTAAATTAACCCACACCTGATAGATTTGGCTACATTTAAGTGCAACTCCACTATACAGGATAAATTATATACCAAATATTTGTAAGTCATTATCCTGTGCTGTCATAAATAAAATTTTCATCGACATTAACAGACTATTTTCTTTGAACAATATACAAAGGACTAGGATGCTAACAATGGATTTTTTTGCGACTTATAATCAGCCCTGTGTTACATGTACATTATCAAGCTCTGGATTTTATATTTTGTTGAAAGCTTTTCACATTCTGTCCACACTTTACACATTACTCTGTTAACATGCTAAACAGTGTAACACTCCGATAAAACAGTATTAGAAGATTTCTGATCCCAAACATATGAAGAGCACCACGATGCACAGTAGATTCAGTATCTTCAGATCTCGGCCCTTGCAAGCATCCATCATAATTTTGAGACCCAGAAAATAGAGGATATTATATATAAAATTATATTCCATAAAAAGATAGTGTGATTATGCACTATGCCTCAGTTTTTTTCCTGGGAGACATCCAACACACTTGAAAGAAATCTGAGACTTAACAAAGATTTCTCCTTATCTACTCTATCCTCTGTATCTCTATTTCTACTCCATTACTTGACCATATTGATCTCTGTAACATACAACTGGAAGCTAATCATCTGCATTTACTGAAAGGAAGAATGCAGTTTTCCTAGTGAAAAAAGGAATCCTAAAATGCAATGATACTGACATAATTTTAGGAAGAGTCATGTTGTGCCAAAAACTAGACTGCTGTGAGATTATATTAAGTGAATGTAAGCACAAGGAAGATAGGGCACGGTAAGCGTTCCAAGTTCTGTTTGGGGCAGATTCTTTGCTAACTGCACCCTTAGGAAATTCAAACTTCAACCTTGCCCAACATAAGCACCACTATATGAGGAAGTCCTATTTTTCAAAAGGCTAAACATACAAGAGTTTGCAGTGAGCAAGGGCAAGCCTCACTAGCTTTTCTGCTTCCTATTGATTACAAGGATTGAGTGGCTTCAATCAACCAAGGCAAAAGAGGACATGTCATTAAATCTTGTGGAGCTGCAAATGAATCTATGATTGCATTTTTTTTTTTTTTTTTAAAAGAGGAGAGTAAATTCACATTTTTATATATTGATTTCATATTCAGATTTAAAAAGGGCAAAAGAAGTGGAAGATAATCATGAGATTAAAACAGCATAACATGCACCTTAACTTTTTTCCTGCGTAAATAATTTCCAAGATTCTTTGCTAGAGCGCAATGTTTCATTGACTGGGCCAGTCAGTCAAATTACCTCTACCGCAGGAAAGGTCAACAGCATCATCTAATGTTATTCCACCCTTTTCTCAACAAGGATTCTGAACAAGCAATGAGAGACTTCTCTCAGCCCACCCTCCAAACAATTTACCAGTGTTACCTACTCTTGGGAACTTTGGACATAACACTTTGTTTAGTCTGCTAACACGGCGTTTCATTAAATTGCTAGATCTAATTTTTCCACTTTCTTCAGAGTATTTTTATATTCAGAGAGAAATTCACTTTTCTTATAGCAGACCACAGAATCCATTTCTACAGCTGATTAAGACTTTCCACTCGAAAAAAATTCATTATCTGATAAAACCAAATTCTCTTAGCTTACAATTTTCAAGGTACTTAATTTTCCTTATTTATATTCTCAGTCTCCTGAATAATCACAACCCCTACAAAGATGAGTATGTTTTTATCTTTAGAAGTAAAACCATCAAGTTACTCGCTCTGCTTTAACTGCAATTGCTTTCTCTTTGCAACTCAAAATGCAAATGTTTGGCACAGGTTCATTACACCAGAAATTTGATTTAATCATAACCGTTACTCCTGCTTTGTTGGCAAGACTTTAATTCCAAATATAAATACAGCAGCCATCCAGACGGAAGCAAATCACAACTGCATGGTATAAAAACCAGCTGCTCCCAAAGACCACATGCTCCCTATGATACTCCCACCACAATATACTCTGGTCCACCACAATATACTCTGGTCCTACAACTTCAGGTTCCTCCCCTTCACCGTATCTCCCATTTCCACCACCTCATTCTTGTGCCTCCCTCCCTTATTCCCAGTATATTTCCCTTGTCACATTAATATGTTAGGGCCTCTCTCCCCTCCACAACACCCAAGCTTCCTTGTGGTCTCCACTTGTTTTTTTTTTTGTGGATGATGAAAGGCAGCATAAGCTGTGCTGCGCCTAATGTCAGCCCCCATGCATGCTGCCTATCACAGGCTCCCCCTGCGAGCAGGTGAGCAGGCTATCAACAGACAGTCAAGTGCTTTCTACCTACCACTGGCTGAACAAATCTACATGTCTTCTATCTACCCAGTTGGGTGTTGGTGCTTTTTGTTAAGGTTAATCTAAAAAGGCTTATTAATAAACTCAGTAGTTACTACGGGAGTAAGGAAGGAAACAGACAGCTGAACATATAGCACAACTGCTTCATTTTCTTAGAGGACATGGCTAAAACAGTTTTAACACAAATTATTTGTGAAGCTCATAGAAAGAAATATCCCAGTGGTATCAATGATCACATTCTAGTAATCTGAAAAGGCAGTTTTAGAAGGAGGCAGAAAATTGCAAGAAGATCAAACTGCACACAGGTGGTATCCACTAATTTTCTGAACGGACACAGTGTACCATGTTCAGACTAAGAGTCTGTCCACACAGAAAGAGTTATGCTGAAATATCTACACAGGTATTTGAGCAGGTCCTTTTGCTCTTCCCCTCAATGACGAGAGGATTTTTATACATTATAGAATGAATGTCCACCAAAACCTTCGATAACTAACACTGGCTGTCTGGAACCAAATACAGTCCTAATAATATTGATTCTTCTGCAGGTTCTTACAGCTGACACTCGTGTAGTGGTGCTGGCTTCAGGTTTCCCGCACGTAGAGGTATCTCCAGAGCAGGTTTCATACACCTTGGTAGTCTGAAAGCGTTTAGACCTTGATATCAAAGTAGAAACAACATATGTATTTTGCTCATGTACTGCTCCAGTGACTTGCTAGGTGCTAATGAGTCCTCTTCCCCTTGCCACTCCCAACTCCAAATGAAATTCAGAGACATTGAGTATAGCTAGAGCAGTACAGCTTACTAAAAGGCTGAAGGAGGTCCTATTATGATCAAGGCAGGACTGTTGCAGTTTAATGAAAAATATCAAGGTAAGAAAGGGAGAGGAGGCACATGCAAAGTTATTGCAAAGAATGAAATGGATACGTAAAATTTTCTGTCAATAACATTCACATTGTTTTTAAGTGTTTCCGCCTGTAACTTGATTGGAAGCTGAAAACACTTTTGGGAAAAGAAGGCATGGAACTTACTCAACTCCATGATAATGGCATCCAGTTGCCTTTTCAAAAGGTAAACCTCTGAGCTTCCGAGGAGTAAGCTCTGGCGTCAAAAGGAAAACATTTTCACTGAAAGAAGGAAAAAAAAAATGTACATGCAGTCTGGATTAATTGTACTTCCATAAATCAGGAAAAAAAAAAAACTCTATAGTCGCTGTGTTTGAACATCTAACATGCAAAGTTATTGATCACCCTAGAGAATCTACTGAGAAAGCCTGCTAGGGAAGGTGAGCAGCTAGGAGTACAGAGTACTACTGGATGCAACAGCAAGAAGCGATGGGGTACATCAGGAAGGAAATGGTTCACCGTCTCCCAGATAGCAACCTAGCTGTCTGGCTATACACGCAGGGAGATCTGTCAGCTGGAGCACCGAGTTTTGGGGTATCTTTCCCTCTGAAAAAGTTGGCACTTTGATTTTGCAAACCTGAGCACTAGTAGCACAGAGCCTGAGCCAAGCCCTTACCAAAGTCGATGATGTTCGTATGAGAACGTGTAGAAGTGGAACAAGTTCTGCAAGTCCAGAATGAAAAAGCAAAATCTAGCAGCTCTCACCTTTGCTACCAGCATCAGTTTGGGACCATTCTCAGTTAAAAGTAGTTATTCTCCAGGCTAAGTTTTAGGCATGCTGGCTTGGTAGTTCAGGGCATCAGATAAAATGGAGCTCTCAGCCAATTAATTTCTTATTTTTATAATCTTATATTGACAATTTCAATATTCTTCCTTGGATCAAGCAAGATACATATGTTCACTGTAGGTCACTGGCACACCTCTCAGTCTTCAAGCAAAAACATCTAGTATGCTTTATTATCTAATACCTTTATATCTTTCTTAGCTCTCCAAGATCTCTTACAGTACTATGAGAGAAATTCTTGTTACCTTAAGGCACTTAAAGGTTTCATCATCATCCTAATAATAATTAGTAAAATCCAAGCAAACTGGGACAAAACTCCTTCAAATTCAGGCTTCACTGGGCTATGGTTCAAAGCAAATCATTCAAGAGAATCAAAATATTTTACATAGTCAGCTTCTGTGCAGGTTTCTGAAAATTTAGGGATTAAAAGAACGCTTGTAGTGAGCAAATTATTGACTTCTTCCTCACACAGCTAACTGGAATGAAAATATTCTGTATTGCAGTCAAAATCCTAAGGCATTGGCACTGATTAACTAACAACTCTATAGAAGACTCTCAAACTTCACTGCAAATTTTCTACCCTGCTTGAATTCTCTGCTCAGAACATCCTGAAGTTAGTTTCAAAAGTTCCGCAACTTTTTTTTTTAGAAATCACCTAAATCCTACAGACTCTTTCACTCTCACAGGTCCTCTTACTTCATTACATATAAGGAAGCTCAAAAATGGATCCTTTGCTCAAACCTAATAATTTCCTTATCGATTCCATTATTTAACGTTAAAAAGGTCAAGAACAAATATAACCCTAGTGACTGCAAAGACTTTCAAGCTTATCTAGTAGCACGCTCCATAAACAGTACAGGTTCTAAAACAAATCAAAACAAAAAAAAGAGCCTGAAAATTAGCCCGTAAACTCCTTAAATCAATTTTGCTGCTGAAAAAGGAGTCATTAATACAGTAACATTTACCAGCATTTACTCTTGAGGATCATTCTTGCAATGCAGTCAGAGTAGGCAAGATTCCTTTAAAGGGGCACTTTAGCAATTAAGAATATTACTAGAAATGCTGGACCAGTATGACATGAGTCAAACACCGCTAAAGCATAAAAGCATTAGGTTCCCATCTCAGCTCCCTTGCACTGAACGAAATGAGTCACACCAATAAAACCGAAGTTCTGCCGGAGTAAATTCCGCTACACTAGAAACAGTCTTTTGTAAAAAGACACGTATACTCATGGCAAAAGCCTACTCCACACTTTTGCAAATCAGGTATTTTTTTCATTGTTTAAATGCATACTCTCTTCAAAGAGCACTCAGAAAATCCTCCTCTCTTCAAAGAGGGAATCTCTGAAACAGCTAAACAGCAAGACCAAGTGGGCTACGATAAAGACCATAAGGGCCTATTTCACTGGCAGGCATGAAATGCAAGGACATTACTAGTTGCAAACACTAATCCAATTAGGCAGTTCCGAGGCTCTTATTCAGTTATTTGCATTCTTGTACATCAGTTTGGAGTACAGTCTGTAGTGTTTTCAATATGCTGAAATCATACCGTTTGGGAATTTGTAATGGCTGAAGATCACCAACTGGTAACCCTTCTGGTGTGAAGTATTTCAGCAACTCTTTAGCATCAAGCAATGTCAGTGACTCTCTTTGGCCATCTTTATGTCCCAGTAACTGCTCAGATGAATGTGGAAACATAGAAACTCTGGAAAAGAGAAAAAAAAGAAAAAAAAAAACTAAGAAAATTACTTTTTTAATGAAGTAATTTTGTTTCACACGAAAAGAATTATTGCTAGTCCACAGCAACTAAACCTAGGTTATTTCCAAAGTAAAACGAACAAGACTGTTACTTGAGAACATTTACATGAAACCTGATGATAAAATATATTAGATGCAAATTCACTACCATCCCACTAAAGAAAGTAATTTCATCATGATTTTGTACCTTAGTTATGAAATACAATATAGGAACTACATTATTCATCCTGGGTTTTTTTTCCATTTATGGACTTCTGAGATCAATAATTAATTCCCATTAAAAAAAGACTTACAATATGCAACAAAGGAACCATAAAGCCACCACTGAATGCAATTCTCCACTCTATTTTTTAGCGTCTTCAATTAAGTACAGCAAAGTTCTCTCTCGTCTACTACTAAGCAACAGGCTAGACTCCAATTCAGGATAAGGAGGAGGTTACCAGTTCAGAATAGGATGAAATAAATATTAACTATGAAATAAAAACATCATTTTGGAAGCTTTTCAAAAGTTAAAAGGAAAAAATTTAATCTGTTTAAGAATAAGTCAATACTATTTTTAAAAAAAGGCATGAAAAAGCAGAGATCTAATGTGAGAATTTGTGACATGCAGAACTCCAACCCAGGCCATGGCAACTGTGGAATTTGAAAGACAGGCATGTCTGCAAATAAGATGGAAATGAGAGCGGGGGGGGAAAGAGAAAGAGAGAGAGAGAGAGATCGAAGGAAAAACAAAACCAAATACACATTTCAAACACAAAACCAATAGATCTATCTCCTTTAATATTATACGAGACTTTATATTAGTCCTGACTATTTAGGAAATACAAAGAGATCATAACCACATTGCACATGCTGACAAAACTCCTTTACTGTCCTTACTTAATCCTTTGTGCCACTGGGCATGTTGGAAGAGAAAAGCTTTTACATGTTTTTCTAACATGGCTGAAGCCTAGAAGTGCCATTTCTTTCTTAATGTAGCTAAAAGTAACATAGTTCCAGTGCTAACTTTCAGTTCTGTCAAGTAACTCAAAACAATACTACTCCAAATACCATGAAATTACCCCAAAACACCCTTGGAAATTGATAGTCCAAGGAAAACTCTGCATCAGTCTTACTGTTTCCTCTGAAAGACTACCAATACATTTAAAAACAGTTATTACAAAACGTCCATCAACATACACAATTCCTCTAGAGTTATGCTTAATGCTCGTAACTGAGAAAGCCTGCTGTATTTAACCATTACCTCATTTTTTGTTTAATTTTTTCAAAGTTTTCCAAATTCGGAAGAACATGTCTTTCTGGCCACTCCAATGGATTTGGCTCCATTAAATCAGATTCTGCAACAAAATAGGCACAGTGAAAGCAAAAGTATTATTGTTCACTTATAAGCAGCAGAATACAATTTGTCTCTAAACACAAAGGAATTTACACTACCAGCCACAAAAGTGCTCAACTTCTGGCTCTCAAGAACTCCACAGGGTAACAAAAGAAGCGTGTTCTACCATGCAGACATCCGCAAAAGCACACTTGGCATCGCCTGAATCGTGAAAAGCACTAGGCAATTAGTGAATTATGGTTTCCAAGATTCCTTTAAGTACTCCAAAAGCAGAGGAAGGGAGAGTGAAAACTAGGAAAAGAATGCTAAAATAACTACAATACAAAACTTTTCACCATAAAGATAAACAACCATTATTGCACTGTGCTCCCATACACTGGTATCACGCTGTACTGGTATGAAATGCCAGGACAGACATGATAGTCATTTCCAAAACGCTAAGTGCAATCCTACCACCAGCTGTGCTGCAATGCATCATATTGAAATGAATGCTGGGTAGGGGGGAAGATGGAGGAAAAGACAACTAATGCCTGTATTAGGGGAGGGAGACACGGACACAAAAGCAAAAGAGAAAACAGGTACATCACGTTAGCAGTGCAATTTGATGAATGAGGCAAACACAAACCACCTTGTTCTGCTGAAAGTTAAGAGATCTTAAAACTTTGTCCCATATACTAATTGTCACCTTTGAGTATTAACAAATCTGAGAACTACAGAAAACATTTTTGAGAGAAGTCCACCTGAAACATTTACTAAAGGGGAGAGTGTTTGGTTTTTTTGTTTTTTAAATCAGCATAACTTTATGAATTAAAATTGTCACTCACTATGATGTACTGGCATTACTGGGTGTTCTACAGACCTGAGTATTTGCAGCAAGATTGTCTCTCTGGCTAGGAGACACAGACTGGCATTCAACCAGACGAGGCCATCTATGTGTCACAGCTTTTCCAATGGCAGATGCAGGAGATTCTACCCAAAAGCCATGTTGCCATAACACAATAAACTACGATCCTAGATATATGCACGCAAACTTCACAGGAGTCAACTCTCCAAAACTAGACATACAGCAAATGGACATATGAGCAACTAAGATGAGAAGAATACCAACATTTCTCTTGAAATACAGGAGAGTGGAAGGGGGGATAAAAAAAAAAAAAAAAAAAGATGTATGCTTCCTCGAAGTGTTTATACTTATAACAAAAGGTTGATAAACCATAATAGAAGTAAAGAATAACACCAGAGGTAAGTCAGCCTTGTGCTCTGATCAGAAGTGTTTTCTCTATCCATTTTTTGTCAAGAAAAAAAAAATGCCAATAGTTAATGCCAAAGGTAATTTCAGCTTGTAAAGGGGCCTGTAAAGCTGTTTGATTTTGCTTTCAGTTTTTTTCTCCTTTTGTCTGGGTCAATTTTTTTAGTAAAAAATTGACAATAGGTATGAAAGTACAGCAAGAAAGGTCTTAAGTAGTAAATTTTCTAAATAAAGATACTTACCAGAAGTCACTGTGTATGACCTAGTTTTATCAGCAACTTTCTGTCGAACAGGTTTAGGAAGACTAGCGTTGCACAGTTCCAAAAAACTTTCTCTTGTAAGCGCTAACAAGTTTTTGATCTCATCAGTAGAAATAACTGAACGCTGCCTGGTCAATTCCTTTCTCTCTATAAAAGAGAAAGAAAGAAAAGCTATTGCATCTGCTAAGAATAACCGGAGCCTCCTTAAAGGAAAACAAGTTAACTTGACCCTGTTGTACTCTTGAGCAAGATGGTGGTGGTTTATTCCACAGGCAAGTAAAAAAACACGTAGCAGTAAGACTGGCTGAAATCACATGTGAATCACCTTTTTAAAGTTTTTTTTATTATGTGTTTCTGAGTACATCCAGGTTTGAATCTCTCAAAGATAAACACTTGGACATGCCGAGTCTGAATATAAAAAGCTTCACTCTACAAAGTCTGCTATGGGACACACTCACCCACTTAACTATTTCTACTGCCGTTACAAGAGCGGCTCCAAGATTCTGTGTGTTCCAGGCTCTTTGGTCAGAACACCAACGGTCAGGTAATTCTGATATAATTTTATATCATATGATTCTGATGTGATCTGTCAAACCCCAGCTGCTCCTATTCAGTCTTTATCCTAATGGAACCGGGGGACACAACCATAACTGAAAATAAAACACAAGCTTTAAGGCAGCCCCAAATTCAGGGTTAAAGCATGAGAGAATCTGAAAATGACTGTAAGTGAAGGCAGTACGATAGGGAAAAAAATAATGGAAAAGACTGTGAGCGTAAAACTCATTCTCATTAAGATGGTATTCTGTTAATGATAAGCCACTTAAATTAGCTTCATAGTATGCCATTCTCAATAATCCAGCCAGTCTCTCAGAGGCTTTTTTCATTTTAATTGAGTCAATTTGAGCAACAGATTTAGACTGAAAAATCTAGGATGACCAGTGTCCAAATTCTTTGCAAAGTCATGAAAATCTATAAACCTGACTGAAAAGTCATTCTCTAAGATGATATATCCATTTATAACAACAACAAATTTACGATGCATACATGCTCTTTTGCACGGAAGAACAAAAGGGTAGAATTTTTTATATCTGTAGAAGGGACATCCAGCAGTGGGTTTGAAAAACAAACCAGGAAAAAAAAAACCCCACAAAGCAGAGAAAAAGTTAACTACCACAGAATAATCATTCTGAAACTATATACTAGTATACTGAAGGTTTGAGTAACAAAAAAAAGACCCATTAGCTTAAATAAGAGTTCAGCATCCCTTTTCCTCAGTATTTAAAAATTATCTGACATGTCATCACAGATATACAGCAAAAAGTATATATTTTTAAATAAAATAATAAAATTTTTTTTTTTGAAAAAAGACTTTTTTTAATACCAGTTTGAGAACTTCTCATGTTTTCTCTATTACTTACTGAGATACTCTTTCAAAGCAAACACTTGGATATGAGACAGTTTCTTTTCTCTCTCTACAATCTGCTCTCCACAGAAACGCGGAAGAGATTCAATGAAGTCTGCAATACGAAAGTCTGTATAGATAAGGAGAAATCTGTTATCAAGAGTTCCTCATAGGACTGCAGAGATACCAGGTCATTCATCTTATTTCTTAAAAAGTGGATTTCAAGAAGACACAGCAGACATACCAATTTCATATTAAGGAAAAAACACTAGAATTTAACATACAGCATACAGCTAATCTTAAAGAATAAATTACAACTAAATTAATATACCAAGGGTATAACTTGGAATAGATGATACACCAGTTTTGCCATTAGTTTTCAATTTGCATACAAAACCAATATATGATAATACAGTTAACATGACTGACATTCAAAGACGGTAAAATTACCACCAGTTTGATAGCAGCAAAGAGAAATTCTCTCCCAACATATTGCTAAGGACTTTCAGTCTTCTGACAGCCTACTAATGGGATTTTAATCAGGAAAAATGGTAAGCAGTCACTCCTATCATACACAGATTTATTTTGATAATAAGAAAAAGAGAGCATGCGGGTCATTGCGCTCCTTTTGTCGGTATTATTGAGAGGAAATACAAGAATAACCAGAGTTAGCTAGTTTATGTACTTGTAACAGGACAACTACTCTATGGTAATTGTCTACACACATGCTCTTTTCTGGTGGAGCAGATGATCAGCTGCTAGCTCTTATCCTAACCACTATAATGGTTAGGATTGCCCAGTAATATGGGCATCTATCAAGTAACTCAAGACAGTCGTGAAAGTCCACTTGTCTGCTTGCCCTAAAGTTTTTATTTTAAATCTTCAATGAAATGAATTTATCAATAGATAATTGATTAGATTTTAGGCTTTGGTTGGTCAGTTTCTGCAACAACAATGTATTTTTTTTTTTAAATTTTAAGTCTTTGCAGATTTGATTTGCATGCCTATTACCTGGATTCTCCTGTACAATAAAACATTTGCATTGCCTACTGGCAGTTTTGAGAAATGACCGACTATAAGTTTAAGAACGTGTTTAGAAGATAAAGTAGAAGTAAACTGTGTAAAGGTATTGGCTCTCATTAATATTTCTATCAATGTTAAAAAATTCAACAGTCCTGAAAAATTACTGCGGAAACAACACAAAGAAATGCATCAAAACGTAACGTTCCTCCTTGTTCTCTCCCTTGTAACATAGATTAATATAAATAAAATGCACGTATAAATTTTAGTAGCGTTTACCTGCCTTCAGATACCTTTTAAATAAATAAGCAAGTCTTACTTGATTCTGTTTCTCCTGCATTTGTCTTCAGCTTCCCATTTACTGCAGCAAGAGCAGCCATTCCATTGATCTGACTAGCTGAATGAATCAAAGTTGCTTTACATCCTCCAGAGCCATTGCCTTGCAGCAAGAAATAATATCGGCAAGATTCTCCTTTCAGTTCAACTTCTGGAACTTAGAAACCATGAGGAGACAACTGTGAAACACCTTCACAAAAACAGCTTTAAAATAAGCTACATCAGGAGTACCTCTCCAGTACGGTGGAAATGCTACTGCTGTCACCATCTCTGCAACCTTATCCTCTCACCATGTCTGCAACCTTATCCTCTATGCTCTGCCACCTCCAAACATACAGAGATCGTTTTGAATCTATATACTGCCAGCACCCGCTTCACACCACTAAGCTTCTTTGCCCTCAATTACATAGCTCTTTGTAATGTCTCTCAATTTATTGCCTTCTCACAGACCTCAAAAAAAAAAAAAAAACAAACAGTCTTTGCCAGTAATCCTCATCTATTTATTTGTTACAAACACTATCTTCAGCTATCAAAAGGAGAAGTCACCGCTCCTTGGAAGCTACATGAATTATATATTCAAAGAGCACTGCACAAACAACAAAATCATGTAAGAAAGGAGAATCCTATGTCTCATCCTGTCCTAGGTAAGCACAGGCTCCTTCTACCCTGATGTTTTTCTGTCCCTACGAGCCTCATAGTTACTACTTTTGCAGTGTCTCCACTTCGAGGGCAGCGTTCAGTATATTCTCACCTAAAATACTGCATGACTAGAAACTTCATTCAATCTGATCTCCTTCAGCTTGCACCGATTCTGTTCTCTCAGGTCCTGAATAAAAAAATCTAACTATTAGTATACTATGTAAGAAGAGTTGGCTGACATTATCATATGCCCACAAGGAAGAAGAGGAGGCCTATTTTCAATCATGAGTTAAGCACATTGGTTCTCAGGGGAAAGGAGGCACCTAGCATTTCCTGATGCTTTGTATCTGCCGTGGAAGAGGGACAAATCAAATGCAAGTGCAAGAACCTTTGGAAATGCTTAAGTGAGAAGGGAAGCAGCAAAGCGAAGCACACTGGTTTTCCATCTGCAGAAGCAGCTATCTTTGCCCACTGACTGTACGATTGATTTAGAAAGGTATGCGGAGACGGGATCTTCAGCCAAAGAACAGCACACAGAGATGGCTTAAAAGAGCTGCATCATTTCCCTAGATCTTAGAGTAACTATGATGGTCATATAATCTGACTGTACTCTTTTCAATTTTTCTCTGCAACAAGCGTGCATAGCTGGAATCGCGTTCACCAAAACATTCTGTTCCAATGAAGATTGCAATCACTGCTTAATTTCATTAAAAAGTTATACAGAACATATAATCAGAATAAAACACATCTACAGTCATCGCCTTCTTACTTACCAGTAATGATCTTAGGTTTTCTAGCCATATATTCCTTCCATTTCTTTGTACTCAGTTGCGCAGGGGATGGGATCAGTACGTTGCTTACATTACATGGCAAAGCAAATAAAGCTCCCACCTAAATAATGAGAGCAAATATAACACATGCAATATTACTGAAACGTACTCTGCATTTCATTTTTTGAGCTACCGATTAGGCACTATTTCAAATGTATTTCAATTAAACACAAACATCTTTACTCAACACCTTTTTCATTCACATCAATTGAGATGGAACAATCAGTTGACACAGCTGACGCTGTGAAAGCTGTGCTTGTTTTTGCTCCAGTAGAGAGATAATTAATTGCTGAATTTCTATTCCGTACATAAAAAGGTCTATACTACAAATCTTGTACCAATTTGGCTAAAAATACCTCTACAGAGTAGCATTCTCTCGTAGTTTTAGAAAAAGGACTTATTTCTTTTTTGGTTAGGCATAATGGAGAACAGAGATGGGGGGAAGAAAAAAAAAAACTACTAAAAACCTAAATAACAAGGTGAAGGCTGGAACCACCGCTTTAAACATATGCCTGAAAAATGCAGTACTAACTCCTGGAAGTTAAAACAAGAAAAATTCAAATTCAACTTAAATAACCTTTTTTTAAAAGTTTAACATAAATTAGCCACTGGATCAAATCACCAAATGAAAGATTATTATCCACTTGAACATACCACAACAGAATTGAAGTGAAGATTATATACATTCAAAGTAAAAGCTCACCACTTCAGACTACCAAGATAAGTCTTACAACGTGAATACAGCCCTGGCTTTTGCTAAAGAAATGGCTGAATTCTAAAAACTACAGAAACATCTACCAGGCTAGGACTCAAAATAACAAGATATTTTAGGAGATCAAAATGCAGCTAAGGTTAAAAAAAAAAAAAGTAACAGGTTTACAAACCATTAGGACCTAGCAATTGCTAGGATTATGCACCATTGAAAGTAAAATTTGCTTTAGAACTAAATATTAAAAGAACTTCCTCAGAGAGCAGGTATTAACATATTATTCCTGTATCTTTTACGAGCAACATACAATTCTTCATTTTGCTAAACTCAAATAAAAGACATCATACCTTCCCAGAGAGAGAAGAAATCTGGTCCAAAAGCAGCACAGATGTCTTGATATTCTTTCTTGCCAGGCTCCTGAACAGAACAGTTTAAGGAACCTCATCTTCCCAAAGAATTATATGTACATCTATTTTAGAACTATACGTACATCTATTTTATAAATCATGCTACATTCCGTTTAAGTAAGGACTGTATTTAATGTGTAACAGTCAAGCACCATAAAAGAGTAAACTTACCTTTTCAAAAAAAAAGCAGTAAAGTTACTTTGGAAATTTTATATGATGAAATACAACATTGCTGACACCTTTAATATAGGCAGGGATCAACAGACAATTTGATATTAAAATATTGGGAGGCTCATACAGCCTGACCTACCTATCTTAACACTAAGACTAGGACCTAAAGCACATAGATTCAAACCAATATAAATATACCTTCAGACCTCTGCAGTTCACACAACTCTGAACATAAAATTTCTCTGCCATATCATGTGACAGATTTTGCATGTATGCAATAAAATGGCATACTTTTGTGGAAAAATGTGTTTTAAACTTACAGCACTAGTATAATAAATATTTCTATTTTTTCCCCCACAGATAATTTATCCACCATTAGATCAAGTATATGTGCAATAAAACCAGTCAGTCATGTTCTTGTAATTTAAATGTCAACATACAAAAAATCTAGCTGTGAAGAAACACTGTATGGCTTTATCTTAGCAGACTGGGTGAAGTGATTTCTTGGTACACCTTCAATGTTATTTGCATGGTTAGATCCTGATTGTTTGCTTTCTGCTAAAGACCGTTATCATTAGATCCTTAAGAAAGGATACAGCTCAAATTCCAGATCTGATATAAAACAGGAGGGCAGATCAGAAAGCAACACCATCTGCAAAAATTCTAACGCAGGACCATAGTAATGAAAAACCTGAAAAGAGATGAAATTGAGAATTGGTAACATGTTATCTCAGTAAAACTTGTTCAAGTGTTTTGTTGGAAGCATTTGTCTTACAAGTAAATCTGAAAAAGGTATAAAAGAATGTAATGAGGGGAAGCTTTCACAGTTTCATATTAAATATAGTCATAGAAAAATACAGGGAAAGTATGTAATTCTATTTAATAAGATTTATTTACTAGAATACCAACCATGTGCATGAAACAAGCTGTGCCAGACTAACTGTTATCCCAATTAAAAATAAACCAACCAACCAACCTATCAGGATCAGACAAATGCAATCCAAAATGTACATATTTTAACAATGAAAATAATATTGCCTTAACGAATGTCAGTTTTGATGAGATGGATTTTTGTTTTCAGTAACAAATATAATTCTGTAGTTGCCAGAGATCCGCTTCCAGTGGAAAAGATAAAACATTAGCCATTTTCAAACAGTATTTCTAAAATGAAATAGAAAAGTTTAGATAAATACAGAACTTAAAAATAATATATTTTGAGTGTAAAGACTGAACAAATTTTCAATTTCAACTTTAAAGTAATTTGATATCACATTCTTAAGAACAAGCAGATCAAATTTTAAAGACCTATTTTGTCTATACATGAACAAAAGAAGTCTTCCTCTACATATAGTAAAGACTTCCACAAGTCTTCCTCAGTTACGTAACCATTACTTTTATGTTTGATATTCTATTTCAATTAAGATTCCCCTAATTATTAATCTTCTCCGGAAGGCAAATCAGGTGAATTATAGTGGCTCAAAGTGACACTAAGACGACTTACCTCTGGCATAGCATCAGTATTCCTTGACTGTGGCTCTTTCTTAGCAGCAAAGCAAGAACTTAAATGTGAAGTGCTAAATGGCTTTGCTGAAATACCTTTCATGCAAAATTCTGGAAAACTAACTTCTGATCCAAACTGAAAAAAAGAGGCAATATAGTAAAAAGAAACATATAAAATGCAGTGCTAACAAGAATGCTTGGAACATTATTTATTCCATGTTTAATTCACCATTTTAATTGGTGAAGAGTAAAAATTTACACAAAAAATATTTCTCCCAGGCCAGTTACATATATTATTATTTTAAACAATTTATATTAGAGTTGATTCTAGCAGATCTGTAAATCACATAAAAACATTAGGCTTAGGTAACCAAGCACTATATCCAAGATTTAAATACTGAAAGCATAAAAAATGTTTTCCACAGTCGAACTTTTCAGTCTTTCCAGAAACATCAGACATGCGCTTGCAACAATGACTTGGTAGTTAAGAAAACCTCATTTTGAACAAAAGGTTAAGGCAAGTGTTTTAGAGGAGGGCGCCTGAGCTTCTGAAATTCAAATGCATATACTTTGATCTCATTTATCCTTTCATCATGCTAAAAAGCAAGTTGTTCCCTCTTCTTCCCACTGCTTCTCAGAAATGCTGCACCAGACATTTTAAAAATTACTTGTCAAAAAGAAGTTGTCAAAAAGAAATTTGTCTTGAAGCATAAAATACATTACAATTTATTTAAAGGATGTACAATATACCCTTTAAATAACATATACAGACTTTAAGACGTTATCATAAACATAGTTATTTTACCTTTTTCTCCCATATCTGAACCTTTCCCCTCCAGAGTTCTTTTAAATCAACAATACTCCTGAGATTATCCAAAGATACAAACTCTGCTGATAGACAGTCTGCAATTTTTTGCCATCTATTGTAAAAATAAGGAAGAATTAATCTCATTGAGCGTAATGTTACAAATTAACATGCAGTGCACTTTGAGTTAATAGACTTACTACTCCTTAGCATTGAATAGTCTTGCCTATGTGAGGACAGATATATATATCTTTACATTCCACAAAGTGCAAAATACTATAGAAGTGCTGGTTCTTCTAACACGATAGCAAAGAACTTTGGCAGATACCAAATAACACTGGCAACGGCAAACCGTAGGCATACCACAGTAAGGTCAGGTGCTAGTAGCTGGCGCAAAGCTAGGCAGCTATCACTAGTGCATCTAGTTGGTTTGAAGCTAGCCTTGTAAGCAGAGATCTGACTGCAGGGCAAATATTACAGACAGACAGAGACAAAATAAATGAATGAACAGCACCTGCATATTCTACTACTGGCCATCTGCATATTCTACTACTGGCCATCTGTTTTCTAAGTGAAATCATCACCACCAAGAGAACAGGAAGAGAAAGTGAGAGAACTTTCAAAGAACGTGAATGCCCAGATGGCTTTACTTTTACATAAATGGCAGCAGCAGAACTTCATTCAGTCAGAAGTTGGCTGCACAGGAAGCACCGAGGCAAAAAAAGAGTATTTTTTTCCTTTGCGATGAAAGTCACTGCAATTAGTTTCTCTTCCTCTGTATATCTTAGTACGTAGGGTCAGTTCTATTCAAGCACTGAACATTCAACTTTTTCATTTTAATCACAGTTTTGTTAACTTGGGATTAAACTTAACCATATATTTCATGAAATAAACGCGGGAGGGAGGAATAGAGGAAACTTTGCCAGGTTATTTAGTGCACACAGGGAATAATTTTCTGCATAGGAAAAAATAAAGTAAGAGCTGTGATTTATATTGAGAAAGATCAAAGCCAATATATATAAATTAAAAGAGGACAGTAGGGATTCTTCTGTAAGAAATTAGCTGTTATTGGACTTAATTTCAGGTTGAATTAATAGTTCTAGTGTTAAAACTTCAAAATTATACAGGAAGTAAATTTATACTCCATCTTTGAAGAAGGGGAAAAGTCAGTCGCTTTTTTTTTTTAATGTAATACTACAGGCAAGTTTAAAGTAAAACCAGCTGATATTCATTTTATAAAAACTGGAAAACTAGAATCAATATAGGTTATTGCGTAGTATAATACATCAGACCTTTAAAACATCCTATGCACACTGAAGCCAGTCGTGAAGTTATTGCTGTGGAAACTACAATTCCCTTCTCTAACAGTTATACTAATGGAAAGTGACGTAAAGATAAAATGTTTTGCTCTCATAGAAACAGATACTTCAGAGGGCTTGATTTTTTGCCTACCCCTTTGTTTGCATCATGTACTTATGATAAACAGGCATGAGTAATTTCTGCTCTCAAACAACGAGGAGACAAATCTACATATTTTCAAAGAATACCTATCAAGAACTGAAGACACTGAAGTGTCTTATTTTAAAACACTAACATATACTGATATAAAACAAGAGTTTCTTCGTACCCCCAAAATAAACAGCATACCCTTTAGAGTCGTTTGCTGCAATGGTGATTTCTGCAGAGTGCCATTCTCTCAGGTGTTTCAGGGCACCAACAGCAGGTAAGCAGTCTTTTAATTTGGGTGCATCTCGCTCAACAGCATGCAGTATTACATCAACCATTGCTCTGCCTGTGAAAACAGGTATATATGACTCAAATTACTATTATTCAGTAAACAATTCGGTCTTTTAAAGAGAGCTGTGTTCCACAGAAAATACCGATTATAGGTGACTGCACTGAAATGTGCTTAAAGATTGATCTCAAGTAATTCACGCAAGGTTTAAAGCACTTTTAATGCATTTCAGCTCATCTCTAGCTGCTCCTCTTAGATTAACACATAATAGTCTACATTTTTTGCCATTCTGTCACTTACAGCAGTTCCACATCTTTCTCCTCTGTCACTGAACACAGTGTTTGACAAATTTGAGTCCTCTATCCCTATGGCCAGGGCAACTACACTATGTCGTTTTCTTCCTTTTAACATCCCTAAACTGCATATTTCCTTTTCTTTCCACACCCAGCTCTTTTGCTATCCCACCTCAACGTTATGTATCCTGTAACATACAGGGTGATGTGAATCTCCATGTATGCAGTCCGAATCCAATAGACCTATGCTCCTTCACACCTTATTGGCTTTCACTTTCTGCAGTTGCATGCCAAGTTTTGTACTGCTTACCCTATCTTACTACTTTGGTGCCATTTCAGACTGAAAAATTAGTTATGCAGATAACTGTTAATCTCTTCCAAAACACAGCCTTCCAACACCATGAACAGTAAACTTCCTAAGCTGATTTCCCAGGCCAATCACATTTAAGTTCCTTAATAAACCACTACTAAGGACTGTACACAAGTGGATTCAACAAGCAAATTAATGTCCTCCGAGTTCTTTTACATCTGACTATGATTTTACCAACTTTTTCAGAGTAATAGCTAAGAAGATAAATATAAACTCAAAAAGAGACTGGTCCTTTGTTTTAAAAAAGCTTACCTGGGGCAGGCAGTTTATCAGCTAGTTGATGCAGACCTTCTGCAGCTTCATCGTAGATACTGAAAATTAAGAGCAACATGGTTGAAAAAATAATTTAGAAACAAAAAGTTACAACTAATAAACACTACCCGAGGTAAATACTTTACTTCTTTAAAATTCTGCGCAAACTTAATACCTAGGCAATCAGATACACTTCTCTCACATTTTACTGAGGCAGAACTAAGCTAAATGACTTCAGAACAAACTGCAGTAAAACTGGAAGCAGGATTCAAGACAATCTGCTTTTTCTTAGCAAGAAGTTTCTTTTTGTATTTAGAATTGTCAGCAGTTAGGAAGCTTTTGTTACTCTACAAAAGTCATCTGTAGCTAAGAAAATTAAAGCAACATAAAACAAATCAGTATTACCTTTGGTGGTAAGGGGTGGGGGGGGGGACTGTTCATGGTTAACTATTGCTTTGGTAATACCTTGTGCTTGCTAAATTTTCTTCATTCCCTTGGGCTTTTACTGTTAAATGTCAAACCACTATACTTTCAACGAAAATAACAATATGCATACTCAGCCATAGACAGTGACTCTCTGCTGTTGTTGTCTTCTTCCTCAAAATTCTGTATAGCTCCCAGACATTCATCAATACTTGTTTGGAGCAAGTCTTCATTTTTCTGGGTGTCATAATTTATTTCCTCCCAGTCAGGACTGCAGAACTAACCAAGCAAAAAGAGTTTTGAATATCACAGTACTAACTTGCATTAGAGACAGGCAGAGAGCTGGGGAATTTATATTTTGAAAAATCTCTTACCTGATAATAACCACATATAACATGACTTGCAAAATAACATTTCTTCCCACTTGGAATACCAGCCACTGAACATGCTAAAAAGAGAGTAAACAACTATTTAAAATAAGCAATCCACTACCATCTATTCTTCCTATTAGAATTAGCATCTCTGCTGAAAGAATCCAAATAAATCTTCTTAGTTGTGATCTTACTACACTGTGCCAACAAGAAATTGAGGTAACGCTGTCTCACTGTATGTGGATTTTCAGAAAAACTGCAGTACTTTTTCCTTCTTAATGGAACTTGTAAGGAGAAATAACCACAGATACTATTGTCACAGCTTATCTTTGATAATCTCAGGTAATTTTTAAATTACATACCTAGCTCTGTTACATGGTTATGCCTACTATTGCCTAAATTGGTTAAAGAAAGTCAACAAAAGAAGCAAATACACAGTGGACTTCCCACATATGACCACTGCCATTGCCATTCATATCAAGCTTAAACGAAAGGTCGTGAAACGGAGGATAAAAACATGCACAAAAAAAAGATTACCTACACAAAAGTCAGCTAGGTCTGAAAATCCTAAAATTCCGCTAAACTTTCACAGAATTCCTGACCTGAATGGATTGAGCTTAAACCATCAACACTGGAATACCACATTTGCATCTTACGTATTTTTCAAACCTTTTAATGCGCCATAATGACTCAAGATCTACTTTCTCTTGGCATCACAGTTAAAGCTTAAATATATTAAGGTCTAGCTAAGTGTCTAACTATTAATGAACCTCTTTAACTATTAATAGATAAGAAAGTTCTTGATTTTCATTCCATTTTGAGCAATAACACTCTTCACTTCCAGAAGCTGCAGCATACCTGAACTGAATCACAACTTTCAGAAATATCGTTAACCCAGTTTACAAAACGAGATGCTGTCTGATGCATTCTCAACATGTCTATGAAATAAAACCATAGAAGTTGAAAAGAGTATAACATTTCCCCCTTAATGAAGCCATTAGTCACAAAGAGATGACAGCTGCGACAGTGAGGTGAGCATTAACAGCTGAACACTAGACACCCAAACCAAGTGAGGAACCAATGAGTTAATTTTCAGACTAAGAAAGTATTAAAATTATTTGAACACACAACCAAGGCACCATAGCAGGTCTTCAAACATCTCTTCCAAGAAGATAAAAATACTAAATAAACGTTCACTAATTAGGTTTCTGAATGCTTACCCAACACACTAACACTGCTTCCACGGAAATAAGTTTAGACACGCAGAATAATGTTAAACCTGGGATGAGATCATAGGTGCAACACAACTCTTAGGCACGAAAATACCAACTCCCCACCTCCAATGGGAAGCAAACCCATTTCTACTCTTGCTTGGTGTTCAAGGGGATTGAAACTTGTCAGAAAGCCGACCTCTAAACAGCTTTATTTTCATTCATGATGCCCAGTAGGTTTAACCATCTCCTAACAATTCAGCTCTTGCTGCTACTACTGTTTTTATAGAGAACTGACCCAGCTTCAGCAGCCCAGCCTGCAGGTTTAGGCAAACAGCAGAAACGGGCAGTTTCCTCAAGTTTTTGACTTGCTTCACCCAGACCTAAGAATCTGCCTAGGACGTTACCTCAAAAACTTTTCTGGCTTAGGGTACTGTATGTTGCTGTACCTACCTGGAAACGCGCTTACATCTGCCTTCACAGATGAACTGCAGCCTTCTGCCAGGAGACCACAGACCTCTGCGGCAGTCACACCTGAGAGAATAAAAGCGTTTCGCCAATCCGCCCAATTTCAAAAGCAAAATCTTACTTTCGCGGACCGGCACCATTCCTCTGAGGGCGGATCCTAGAGCATTAATCTGAACACAAGAGCCCTCATTAAGCCAACCGAGGCGTTTTTGAGACAGAGGGCAGCAGTTACGCCAGGAGACCACAGACCTCTGCGGCAGTCACACCTGAGAGAATAAAAGCGTTTCGCCAATCCGCCCAATTTCAAAAGCAAAATCTTACTTTCGCGGACCGGCACCATTCCTCTGAGGGCGGATCCTAGAGCATTAATCTGAACACAAGAGCCCTCATTAAGCCAACCGAGGCGTTTTTGAGACAGAGGGCAGCAGTTACACCGCACGAAGACGCAGGCACCCGCCCGCCGCCACCTGCGCCCAGGGCCCCTTCCCGCCGGGCCGGG